AAGAGTACAGTAGAAATTCACAGATGTGAATTGAGTGGAGCTGCCCTGCTTTTTACACCATTTGCTCCCCACGAGATTGTGGCATATGACAAAGTTAGTTACTCTTTGTCTTGTACACCTTTCTGTGCAGACAGATTTTTTTGAGTGAATCCATAATAGAACAGATAGTTCTGTTGTAAAATAGATTTTAGTTTGATAAAGGTTTATTAGCTTTCATACCATTTTAGATTAGAGTACTGACAACAAAATTGGGGTGTTGAATGTTTTGTTCAGCTGCTTATGTATTGCTTAATCAGGAATATCTCAAACACATGAGTCAAATTGCTCGTTTTTTTTATTAAAAAGGAATCCCTCATTTCCCAGCACCTCAGAATTGTTGGGCGTCTAGTGACCTAGTTTCACTATTTGCACACACAACCTAGTCTATAGTATGAACCCTTGAGAGTCTGCTGATAATTTTCAGACCAGACAACTGGGATCCCTATAGAGCAGAGGGGCACAGGTGGGGTCTGTAGAGATTATATAATAGGAAGGCTGCTCAGTATAGCAACATAATTAGTTGAAATAATAGATCTGTTTCAGTAAGAGGAAGCATGAATTTGTCTACCCAAAACACATTAATTATGTGATGGTTCAAGAGGTAACCATTGTTGTTTTGCGGTAGTTCCACCTGTTCGATATTGAGATAAATATAACATTTGCAGAAAATCAACCTGCTATTCTCTTCACTCTTGGAAAGGTGTGAGGTGGAGGGAATTATGGAGGTTGGAGGTGAGGGGGGAGGGGGAGAAGTGAGTTGAGCTAAATTGGTTGAAAACTTGCGTGTCAATGGTGAGGCAGGAACATTTTATAGGCTGAGTTAACAGGGTGAAGGGAGTGAGCGGATGGGTAGAACTGCCAAGTATGAAACTAGGATGGAGTCATTTGAAAGTTGAAAGGTGGAAAAAATTGAAAGTAAGAACTACAGTCCTGAACCCAGTGCATTGGGGAATAGGGAGTCAATGGTGTTGATAAGCTCATGGAGTGTGGATAAAATGCAGCAGTGGCATCCTGGAAGTCTTGGAGCTTTTTGTGGCTTGAGCTAGGAAGGCTGGTCAGCAGGGTGTTGGAGAAATCTAGGCTGGAGGTGGCAAACGTGTTGATTTTCAGCTACCTTAGGTTGCAGTAAGAAGGAAGGCAGACAATATTAATGGGGTGGATATCTATTTTTAGTCAGTAACTATGCTTTCTGTTTTTTAAATAAAGCATTGCTGCTGTGCTACTTTAGTTTGCTTTAATCCAATTGATACATTTTTAATAGCTTTACTACAAATTGTCTTGGGAGAATAATGCTGCCTAAATTCATCATTAATAAAACAGTAATGCTCAGCACATATTCAACACTTTTTTTAATCTAACCAATGATTTAGCTACTGCTGGGGTACTGAAATAGATATTACATTAGCCTTGTAAATTGGGCATTTCACCTATAGCTATTTTATTGTTTATGAAATAACAGTAAGGGTAGAGTATTATTACCCATGATCAATTATTTTTATTTGGAGATCATGTAAATGGTGGATGTATTTAATGCATACAAAATATAGATATTGCATTCAGAATAGTATCTGTAAAAATCCAGGGGTCATTTAAGTTTTTTACTTTTACACTTAAATCTTAACTGACTTGAAGTTGTACTGGAAAATTTATCAAGTGTTTAACACCTTGCCTTGTGGTTTAAAGAAAACCGAGTGTTTCTGGTATACACTGACCAAAAGCCGTTACAGCTTCCTGCTTATTAAGCCTCAAATGGATTTAAAAGTGGCATTTAAACTACTCGTCTTGAATCATCAGCAACCTGTAGTAGTTGATCAACGGCTTAGTTTTTAAAAAAAGTCCAGTAGTCCTGTCCTTTGAGCTTTCAACCTCTCTCTCCCCCCCTCCCCATACCATTAATTCTTTACCTCACTCAGAATATAAATATTGGCCACTTTACCTTCTGCATAATAATAATATTCCTTGCATTTAATATCGTACCTTATCACGTCTCAAAGCACTTCACAGGACAGACTGCGTTTTTCTGGGCGAACAAAATCCATTAAAGAGATAGTACAGGGAAACCCCGTTATAATGCAGACCTCTCTGACTTCCAAGTTGCCGGTTAGTGTTTACATCACTTTCTGTCCTTGCAGGCTATGTATAGTCAGGGCCATTATAGTTAATGGCATTAGCGGTGCTTTCTGGGCATAGCGTACATAGCACCAAGAAAGTTACATCAGGGGTAATCGGACGAACCAGAAATCCCGTTTACCAGGCTTTTCCCCCATACCTCTGCAAATTCCTCCTTTTATACCATGGAAGCCACTTAAGATGGACATGTCGGTTTTGTCCGGCTTAAGCGGCGTTTGAGTCCAAAAGAAATTCCCTTCCTCTACAGCAGAGGAGCGTCTCCGAGGGGATTGATAGCTGGAGCTGCTTGTAAATGCCCATTCATTCACAAGCAGCTCCAGCTGTCAATCAATTGTGATTTGACTCCTCCCACTCCCTCTCTTGTTTCCTCCTCGTTCCTCTGCTCCCTCACTGATTGACAGCCCATACTTGCTTGTGAATGGTTGGAGTCCGCTGTCAATCAATCACAGTTTGACTCCTCCCATCTCAATCCCAGAGCTGCTCATGGCTGAATGGAGCCACTCGAGACACAGAAGCTGTGAGTGAGTAGTCTCAGACCAGCGAGGCATTTTGTCCAGATTATCTGGATTTTTGTACGAATTAACACCATATTTAAAACAGGGCCGGTTGTTTTGTCTGATTCACCCTGCGTACGGGGTAACTGGCGTCTGGCTACAGGGGCTTCCACTGTAACTAATTCCTTCCCTCAACCACTGACGGGCAGGATATTCCACTTTCTAATAACATTCTCTATATCAAAAACAAACCCTCCTAATCTCTCTCCATTTAGCTTTCTTCACAGATTTGTCCACCTGCCTTCCCAACTTTAAAGATTTATACATGTTGTTTATATTTCTCTTCTACTTAATGTACAGTTGTATGGGTGCTGTTCGCTCTCAAAGTGGCTATTATTATGCAAGGTTTAACAATGAGTTGGCAAGCAATTCAACTACAGCCATGTCAAAGATTAGCCAAATTGTACCTTTGTATGTCATCAACGCACATATTTCCCAACTGGTGTGTCTAGATAGTGATCAGAAGTGGGGTCCTGTCTGTGATTTTCTTCTTCCTATGACAGTGTGCTGAGGTGAGCATAACAGCCTTACATCTGCCCCTTTTGAAATCAGCTAATTCAACACAAACTAGGATTGAATAAAGGACATTTGCTGACAAATCGTTATTTAACATGAATTTTGTTTCCTCCATATTATCTCAGGTAAAAGAGTCTGAGAGGTGTTTTAAACCATCATCCTGGAGCTGTAATGTTAAGGCGGCTTTGGGATAGCAACTTGAGTAGTTTTTTTNACTTGTGATTGTGCTGAGATACAATTTGTATTATTGAATACTGAACATGAATGCTAAGAAGGGTGGAATGGTTCATTTGTGGCCGTTCTGTAGTTGTGCTGTCAATGTTTCTTTGCATTTTGGGGAGAAGGGTTGATGTTGGAAGATATGAGATTTCTAGATATTCTTCCAACAGGGTTGAGAGGAAATCCTAAAATTGAAATAAAGCCTTAAAGGATTTATGATTGATAACTGGATTATGAGGTTGTTGCCGAATTGTATTTCATAACTGTGTAACAGGCTAGGGATATCCATTATATTGGAAGAAGCAAATTTGTCACTGCTGATTAATCACCAAACCGTATGAGTCTATCCATTTTTTTCAACAATTTTAAAGCATAAAGTATAAGCAAGCCTTGGTTTAAACCAACAATAAGATAATTGGATAGAAAGCTATCTGTGGAATTACTTTTTTTATGTAATGGTCCTTACATACATTAGAACACATTCAAGGAACAGAAATGTTAATGAGTATGTTGCACACTACATGAAACGGTTAAACCTTGATTTTTTTAATATATATATAAAGGTTTAACCATTTCATGTAGTGTGCAATATACTCATTAACATTTCTGTTCCTTGAATGGTTAATTTTTAATTTCTGTCTCTTACTCTAATATACTGTAAAAATGTTAGTGTAAAGACTTAGCATTATAGGGAATAAAACCTAGTTGTATCTGAGCGCAAAGTTACTTGGAACATGATTTCCCTGCAAATTACAGCTAAACAATGTCCCTAATAATCCTGTGCACATTCCCTGGAACATAACAATTTGCTAGGCAAAAGAAGACCAAAGTCCATCTAGTTCGGCTTTCACCATCCTGGCAGTCGCTTGACATGTCATGTCCCAAACTATATACTGTATCCTTAGATAATAAGAACATAAGAAACTAGTGTATGTGTGTTGTCCTGGGCATTGAAAAACTCTTTAAATCATAAAGGTGGCTCTACAAAATATTTTTCCAGTCCATCTGTCATTCCCCCAAGGGATCTTAATCTCACTATATGGACTTAAGTATCTATCATTTGAGCCTCTTAAACTTATGTGACTTGGGAGTTTCAATGCATAGGGCGAGAAAGATTCAGAACCTGGCCTTACCAGATCCATGTTTTCACAAATAATTAAGTTACCTTTTATAAAGTAGTTGTTTGGCTGCTGCATTCAGATTTGTGGAATGAGTTAAATCACACTTGAATAATAGTGTGATTTAACTCGATTAACAAACCTTATGGGAATAATTTATACAATAAGTATTGAAAATGTGTCATTTTTGTGGCACATACATTGAACACCAGCAAACAAGGTCATAAAGTGATGGGAAAACTGTTTTGTTAAGAAAAATGCTAGTTTTAGTTACTGAAAAGTAATTTTGAAGAGAAAATAATTTTGTATCGAGCCAATGCATAAAAGTGGTTTGCATATTTTTTCCAGTACAATTACATTTTTCACTGTGGTGTAGATATTTTCGATTCAGTATAATTTTACTGTATTTTTCCTTTGTTTCTAGGTCAAAGGTCTTGTCTCCATTTGCATGGTATGTTTCCATATCTCTATGTTCCATACAATGGTTATGGACAAGAACCAGAGCAACATCTTCGTCAGATGGCTTTCAGTATAGACCGAGCACTAAATGTGGCTTTGGGCAACCCATCCTCCAATGTCCAGCATGTGTTCAGAGTATCACTCGTGTCTGGAATGTAAGTAAAAAAAATTATACGTTCTGCTATATTTGGTATTTATCATTTTTGGTATAGAATTTTCTAGTTTTTATTGTTTCTTTAAAATTGGTATTAGTAATAACATACTGTGCAATCAACAATGTGTCAGATAAAACAAACATAACTTTTTCTATCCGGTTTCCAAATTGGAAACTGAGCAGTAATCTTACAGCTGTTTTGCTGGTACTCTGCTTGTGTAGACTGTGTAAAGCTGATGGTGAGTGGGAATATACAGATTAAGATCCCTTGGGGTATTACTGCATGTATTACAATGATGCAGCAAGCTCACTGTCAATGCAGCTGATATCGTATAGGACTTTGGAACATAACATACAGGATCGGAAAAGATTATCCGGCTGGTCTCAGAGTTTTAAAAAAAATCTACTCCTCTGTCATGCCCCTTGTTACAATTGAAAAGTTCTTTCACACATTTCCATTACTTGAAATTGCATACAATTTAGGGGGCTTGCATACAGTTCCTGTAACTGAACATGCATCTACTACAGTGTAAGCATGTGGCTTTATCACTTGCCATTTAGTAATGTGACTCTCGGGACTAACAGTTAGCCCTTGACAAGACTAAGCATAAACTTGCCTATGCTCCCAATCCCTTATGGAAGAATTGGAACAACAAAAATAACTTGCATTGATATAGTGCCTTTCATGCAAGGTAGTATCTTGAAATGCTGAACAATTATGAGCCAATCCGAACTTTATCCAGTTTCTCAAAGTGTACTTATTTACAGACCAGGGCAATAAAATAGACAACATCCAGTGTGCAAAAAAAACTGAACTAAGAAAATTAAAAATGTAGTAGTTCACAGATTTCAACTTGTTTGAAGTGTACACATTTTGTAAATATAAAAACTATTTCATGGCTCCCTCAATCATAGCATGAGTGAACAAAGATTACATATCTCAGGAACTTGTTGCTTTCCATTTAAAAGCCTTGGATAATAAAAAATCTGCTTATAGTACACGTGGTTTCTAGCTGGCTTACTGTGCTAAAAATGTCTGCCTTCCAGATTGTCCAATTACTGCTGACATCACTTTCTGAACATTGTGCAAGAAAAATAAGTGATTTGCAAATCCTTACTATGTGCAGGAAGTGCTGCTAAGATTGGAGAAAGGAACAGAGGGATATAGGTTAGAGGGAGAGGTGAGGGTTTCATGGAGTATAACTACCGGCACAGACTATTTGAGTCAAATGGCCTTTTTCTGTGTCCTGTCACTCTATGTAACTTTTGTCTTTCACAATGGAAAGCCTTAGTGCAAAGCATTTTGGAAGTCCTTCAAATATGAAAGGTGCTAGATAAATTGTTGTTTTCCAGAATCTCAACTACTTTCTTCTATTTATTTTAAATTCATTCTTTGTGCCCTCCGTCTAAAAACAAGATTTATTCAACTTCTCTTTTTTCAAAAAAAAAAAAGTTTTCTTAGATCCAGGTATCCTTTGTCTTAGTAAAACAAGAAACGTAATTTGTTTTTATTATAATAATCCTTGCATTTGGTATAGCGCCTTATCACGTTGTCAAGACATCTCAAAGCGCTTCACAGAATATACTGTAAAGTGTAGTGACTGTTTTGTGGGCAGCTAATTTGCACGTAACAGCCATGAAGTGAATGATCAGTTTTATCTGGGGGATTGTTGGCCAGGACACCATGCAAAATTCCCTTCTCTTTTCATATACTTCAATGGGATTTTTAACATTCCACCTGAACAGGCAGACAGGACGTCGGTTTAACGAATTTCAAATTGTAAACATTAGTTTCATAGGAATTGTCTAATTTTTAAAAACTTTGTGTTACAGTCCTTTTTATGGCTATCATGAGAAGGAAAGACACTTCATGAAGATTTACCTGTATAATCCCTTGATGGTGAAAAGGTATAGTAGATATCCGATGTGCACTGTTCATGAGTTATCTTGTTTACTTATAAAATACAAGTTTATTACAAACCAGTGTTAAGTATAGCATTCATGCTACTGGTGTAAAAATATACTTTCAGTTCTATTAGTGTGCGCATGTTGTAGTGATAAGAAAATCTATGTTGCAGTGGTGAGAAAAGTTGTCTCACAGCAGTGTGATTCATCAGGTCACAACTCCTACCTCCCCTCCTCTAAACTATGTTAATTTTAAAAGAAGCTATGACACAAGGCTGCTTAGCTTATCCCATCCTGCATAAGCACTCAAACATTCTTCTCTGCCTTAATCCCTCTTAACAAAGGGACAAGACCAGAGTTTATTCCTGTGATAAGCTTGGTATCCCTTTCGCTTTATATTATGCGAATGATACGTGTGGTCGAGGCTTAACAAAATCTTACTCCACTCAAAATCCACTTGGAACAGAAAATAAAATCTAAATTTGAAAGAAATCACAAGAAGGTGTAGTTTCCGAGAAAGTTTAATGCATTTTCCCCATCAGTTTAAGAACTGTGAATAGAATCCCTAATTCTCATTCAAGTGGCAAGGGAGAAATTTGACCCTCAGATCTGTTCCATTTAACTTCCTTAATCATAATGAGGTTTTATTTTGTTTTTTTAGTAGGTTTTAATAAAGCACTGTTTTATTCCACAAGAGTTCTCCAATACTGGTTCCCTATATTGCTGTTTTAGAATCCATCTCATTTATGGTCTGCATGCAAGTGAACTAAAGTGCTTTAGTAACAATTTTAGACTGTTGATGAACTAGTTTGGCATTAAATCTGTCTGCAGAAGCATGGATTTAAACCACATATTTTATAGCCTTCAGGGCACAAATATTGTTTGGTTTACATTTGAGCTTTAGTGCCATTTACAAATATAAATGGGTTTTAGCAAAGTTGAAGTAAGTTTCCATTTCAGTACACCAATTCAGTAATTGTTAGGAGTACTTTAGTTACCCAAGTCTGTTTGGTGCAGCTGAAATTAGTTTTTAAAAAGTAATATTTTCTATCTGATGATGAATGTCCATTTTAAGAGATGTTAATAAAGCTGTAATGTACTTTATGGTTTTGGTGAGATGGCCCATCGAGGGAAGAGCAAAACTAGTTTAAGTTGCCTTACCATGCATCCTGTTAGACAGCTAGAGTGTTGTTTGTGTTGAAAAATCACTCAAATGTTGAAAGCAGGAAACTATCACTCCAACTGGTTTTGAGGATATTTCTGGACAGAGCCAAGCTCTGCAGGTGTTTGTGACTTACAGGTGGTTCCTTGTAGAAAATATCATTTATGTCAGAGGTTTGTTCTGGTGGCTAGTTTGTTCAATTGTTTGTTCATTTGTTCAACTCTATTGATTACACTAATGGTTAATCCACATTGACCAGGCTACCTTAAGGCGGTGTATTTTTTTTAAACTGCTGTAGTCCTTGTTGCAATGGTGCTCCCACAATAGCATTAGGTGTTGTGCTCCAGGTTTATACCCTCTGACAATGAAAGAATGGTCATATATGTCCAAGTCAGAATGATAAGCGACTTGGATGGGAACTTGGTGGTGGTGAATTGGTCCCATAGGAAATTAGGGAAAAATATATAAATGGGGGTCGATTAAACCTTAGGTTTTTTTTCTATTTGGAGTAGCATTGTATTGTAAAAATGAATTGCTGAAGTCTTGAGTTAATTTTCTTTAAATGTATGTGCATTTAAGACAGAACCAAAGATGAATTGTGCCACAGGCTTGAAAAGGTGAAGTGACATGCTGGTGTTTAGAGGCTTAAGGCGTGTGTTTTGGGAACCTAGTTAAGCCAGAGTGTGGAAGGAACAAAGTCGAGAGTGCTTTTTGCACCAATATAAATAGGAACAAAAGCTCATTTTTCCAGCATGATTGTAGGTGCAATTTTCAAAAAAGGAAAATATGCTACAAAATATGCGTTAATATGCTATGGTAAATAAATTGTCAAAATAGCAGAAAGTTTGTCTAAGCAGAAATAAGATTATGATTGCATCTTGTATTTCTGTTTAGAGTCTGTGAGCTGCTGCAGGGAGGAGCTGTAATGAACAAATCATACCAGCCATATGAAGCTCATCTACCGTATCTCCTCCAGCTCTTCATTGACTATAATCTGTATGGAATGAATCTCATTCATCTCGCAGCAGTAAAATTCAGAAAAACTAAACGAAAAGGTGAGGAAGTTCAGAATGGTATTTAGAAAAACCTTAGAGAAATGGTAAGTGATATTAAATAACTAGTGAATTAGCCAATGATGTTATATTTGAGTACCCTAGATTCTGTGCTTTCCATTTGGGTTGCATTACCCTGTGCCTCTCAATTTATAAGCAGAATTAGCTAAGGCTTGTAAAGTATTGCCTGTCTGCATGTTCTGATATGTTACTTAGATGAGAAAACGAGAAAAGGGAATGTAAAAAATTTAATTTTTATGGTTTTCCAAAAGTCTTGAGTTGGGTTCATTGTGAACTTTTCGTAATCATTTGTTAACTAAATGTATTTGAGCCAAGTGTATAAATAAGTCCAACCTGAAATGCCAAAATAAAGGGATAGAAAAACTTCTTACACTTTAATTGTATGCCATGATCATGTCTCTGGTTGAATAAGATGATATGTTAACTGGTATCATTTCAATCAGCAGCTAAACTCAATAGCATAGCCTCAGTGCACCTGCCACCATGACCTTTGTTAACCTATGGCTGCAAAACTATGAAGTAAGAAAGATGTGTTTATCCAAGAAGGAAATGCCGCTTCAATTGAATTGAATTCCTGTCAGTGTTATGCCCAACAACGTGGACAATGTATTTATTTATAATGAGGAATCTTGTTAGAAGCTAACCAAGTTGATACTGCTTCTATTTAAAAACTAGAATTTCTGTCAATAAAATGCCACACTGATTGTTTACCAGCACAAAATCTACCTCCCAACACTATTCACTTCATGGCTGTGGGATATTCCTGTGTGCAAATTAGCTACCGGTTTGCCTATAAAATACACAGTATGTAGTGAAGCTCTTTGAGATGTCCTCTTGACATGAAAGGTCCTCTATCAGTGCAAGAATTACTTTTATAAATTCTTAATTTTACAAACTTAAAACTCACCAGAAGATGACAATATACTGAGGTATATTTGGACACTACAAATGTCTCATCATAACATGGTGCAATGTAGACAATTGCCTGTACTTCTCCTCATGTTCCCCAAGGTTCTGCAAATTACCCAGGGAAGTATGAAGCACAAGAAGGAAACGTCAACACAGTCATTCTTATCAATTATGCTTTCTACTGGTCACAAACAGACAGATACTGGCAGTGTCTTAGGAACATGTTGTACACCTGCATACACTGTTGCAGGTGTACAACATGCACTAGTTGCACTGGAGCTGAGGGCAAGACCAACTGGCAATGGAAGATTGTAAACAACTTTAAAATATTGCAGAAGTAGAGCACTGAATATTGATAGTAGGGAACAGAGCATTTCCCTTCTGTAATTCCTGCATACATCATTGCCTGTGTATTAATTGTGAAGTTTATTTTTTCATTCCCAAGTTATGTATTTTCCATAAACCTCAATCAGTTTATATGCAGGAAAGTATTCAGAGTTTGTTTTACTTCTGAAATCATCACATACAATATACATTCCCAATGATAAACTCTTAACTCCTCTTCGAGCAAATGTTTCTTATCAATTAGAAAATTTCATATTTTGTAAAACACTTTCTGACAACTACTATTAGCATGCTCTTCAATAAAAACAAGACATTTTTCTCTCTGCATGTCAGCCTTCCACTTCCATCCTTGGCTTAATGGCCATCATGTGGTGGCACACAAAATGGTAACTAATGTGAAGTTTGCAACAATTTAACTTGACGATGGGCACAGAAATCAATCATTTTTAAATTTGTTAAGTTTAAAAATACCCTCTGGTGTGGTGCCATCTATTAGAATTAACATAAACAGTACCATGGTAGCAAGGGAACTGATCTTGATTGATGCAAACAGCTGAGTTCTTGTTATGTGCTGTTTAATTTATCCATTTGCAACTAATATTTATAACTACAGATGACCAACCTGCTGGAAAGGTCAGTTCAGAATTAAGTAATCCCAGTAGCAATGACAATGGAAAGTTAAGGAATAGCCCCATTACTACCAAGTCGAAGGCATCACAGACGGAGAATTCCATTAATTGCTCCTTCGTATGGTGGGAAGAAGAAGATATACCAAGGTTGGTTAAATAATTTATTAATATTTTATTTACTACAAAAGAAGTGAAAGTAGTGAGGAATTCTCACTTACATAACCTGTTCACTAGCCTCCCTACAAACTTGAGGGGGTTATAGTTTGAGGTTTAATTTAAAACTGTTATCTCAATTGGAACAAAAGGGTTTGGCTAGTTAAATGGGAAGGTAGTTTTATAGGAGACTTAAAGTGGGTGCATGAATTGGTATACGTATTCCAATAGCTTTTTTAAAAAAAACACAGAAAATAGTCTCCCGTATAAGTTTCACAGACATCGGAACTCTGAAATATTATTTGAAGAGTAAGGATCACCATCCTATTAATTAAGGTTTAAAAAACATAGTCCATTGTTCAACGCTCTGAGATGCTATCTCATGAGAAGGGCACGATTTATACAGTAAATGCAAATTGTTGTTTGAATCCTCTCATGCCGTGTTGGCTGACCTCAGCCGGGGAAAGCATTGGATTGGTGGGATTGTTGCTAGAAATGCGTGTGTGTGATAGTCTGTTGAGGACAAGATTACGCTCAGTTGCAATTTTTCTTGTCGACCCCCCCCCCCAGAAATTTAAGGATGCTCCTATTTTCCCAGATCTGTAATTAGAATATTTTAAATAAATTCAATAACCAAGAAATGTATTTTCTTATATGACCTGCATAGTATGTTCTCAACAGGAGAAATGTTTTTATTATATTTGTTTTCATTCTGTTCTTGTGAAAAAGTTAAACTTGGCTGACTCCTTTTTTGGAGGTAACGTCATGCTATGAGTTAACTCTTTGTTTATTTAGGGTTTGATATTATTTACCATCATTTTTTAATTATGCTTGTGTTGCAGTTCCTTAATTTTAGAGGGTGTTGATCGACAGAGCACTTGTGAGCTTGAACTGGATGCAGTTGCAGCTGATATTTTAAATCGCTTAGAAGTTGAAGGTATTACTTCTGTAATAATACATTCAATCTGTACACTCTTACCCTCTCACTAGGTGGGGAAAAAAATGACTGGAAGGTTGTTGAATACAAATTAATTTTAATTGCATGGTTAATACATAGTCAAATAGTAGTGTGCTCAAGAACATTACTTTTATAAAATACAAACCTGAATATAAATGCTCTAAATTTTAAAATTTATTTGTTAATTTGAACAAAAATGTGCATGCTCTGATTAAACATACTAAATCCAGTTCATAGCTGCAGGGCATGAATACTAAAGTCTTCTTCTCTCCCTTTTTTTCTAGCTCAGATTGGCAAAAACCCTGGTCTGCAGGCCATATGGGAGGATGAAAAACAGCGCTGTCGTGAAAATAATAAGTCTTCTCAAATTGAATTGCCACCTTCACAGGGTAACACAATGGCATAATATATATTTGAGAATAAGAAATTCCCAGTGCTACATCATTGATCAGTTCTAGTATAATATGGCAAAAGAGCAGGGATCCAATTTCATATATGGATAACTAGCATATATGCTTCTGTGGCTTCTTGTTATTTCACATCTGTTGGTGCAAATCAGTAATGTCGTAGAATGGAATGGGTTTGACTATTTCTCTCTGATAGGAAACAGTGATCATTGTACAGTAGTTTAAGAAGAACATAATGACTCTGCTGAGTTGCTGAGCAATTTCTGATCTTACTGACGCACAAATTTTAGAAAGTTTCAGATAATTTGCAAGTAAAATGACAAGCAGGTGCATTTTCATACTTTGATTGACAATAACATGCAAGAATCAAAGGGTGGATCAGGTCTAGAAGGCATCGCTTTAAATAGAAATTGACTCATGTAGGTGTTCCAGAAATGCATATATTTAACACTCTGGTATCAAAGAATATAACAATGAGTCAAATATTCTTTAGTGTTTTGTAAAAATCAGTAATGTATAATGCATTTGACAGGAAATTCATTAATCAAAATGTTCATTTTGATATAAAGTATCTAATTCACGAGAAACTGTCTGAGTTACTATAGGGTGACCAAAAAAGGCATGATATCTGCACTATTTTCTTAAAAAAAAACATAATTTTTGAAGCCTTGCACTTCATGTGTTGAAGTTATAAGTTACATGACTGATAATTATCCCTCATGAAAAAAAAACAATAATTTGGTCACTCAATCCACGACTGTGGGACACCGTTGTGTGCAATTGGCTGCTGTGTTTCGTCCACAAAATATACATTCCATTCACTTCATGTATATTCTGTGAAGCACTTTGAGATATCTGGAAGACGTGAAAAGCACTATCAAATGCAAGGATTGTTATATTATTATCATTTCTTTAAAATTTATTAGAGATTGTAATTGTATCCTGGCTTTTTGGTCACCCGATACCTAATAATTATGAATGTTCTATCTTTTTTGCATGTTTAATGTCCTTGATGTATTAAGATTTTTCTCATTTTTAGTGTATAGATTTATTCCACTGAAGCATCTGGGAAAAGAAATATAATTCAGTGGAATAACGACACAATTTGGTCTGGTAAAGAAGCACACATACTATTTGATTTTGATGGCAAATGATCTCACAAGGGATGGGGTGGTGCTACAGTGGCCTACAAGTGGATAAGGGAGAGCAAACATTGGCCATTGTTAAGCCTCTAACCCCTCCTGGGGAGCACTTCTGTGGAGAAGAAGTGTGGACATAATTGAGTTTAGCTATTGAGTTTCCATCTCTGCTTATAGGCCTTCCATCACATTTTGCCTTCTGTCCACTTGACATCTATTAATTTCCAGAATCAAGAAAGTGGTCTGGAAATTTAAATCTGAATTGCAGCTTTAATGGTTAGATCTCTAAGCACTGTACCCTTGACTCAACAACACCATTTAACTGATTTTGATAGATACTTCCTGACAGCTGGAAAGTTTGTATTGCTGTGTATTTTGTGGGCGAATGATGGGTGCTGAGAGAGGAGAAAGTCTCGCTCTCCCCCCTCCACCCCGCTCTCTCTGCCCTCCACCTCCCCTGTCCCGTTGCATGCTGAGCTGATGACTGTCCATCATGTGCTTGCTGTGAAGCCTCTGTGTCTACAAACTGCCAGTAAGAAGGGCTTTTTAATTCCGACATATAGCTTTTGATAGCATTTGTACTTTCATTTATAGATCGTGATTTTGTACAAATAACAGAGAGTGAAAAGATCTTCCAGCGCAGAATAAGGGAGGTTCTACAACGAAATAACTACTCTGTGTAAGAAATTTATTTACGTTGTATTTACTTAAGAAACTGATATGTATTGCTTTTACATAATTTCACCATTGGATTGCAGTTTAGAATGCTTGTTTGTGCTGTTTCAACCCAGGGCTTTATCACAATCCATGGATGAAAGTGAAGAATTCAATGTGTTGTCCTCGAATTTGACCTTACATATGGATGAATTGTCACCTGAAGCCATTCCTTGTACACCTGCTTGTCTGGTTGAGATACACAGTGATAAAGAACAAGGTAAGACAACCAACAATCCTTGCCTCTTTTTTCCTCTTCTCTCCAAAGCTAAGAGATGCCAAACCCAATTTTAGTGCCTCGCGTAGTAATCTGGATCAGATCTGCTAACTCAATGCACAGAGGAATGAACTAACATTATTTGTTTAGAACTCTACATCACCAGCACATACATTATGCAGTTCATGTCAATGATGACTCTCATTTATCAGTGGTGTTATCATTGTAATTTTCACATATCTGGATTTGAAATTTCTTGGATTCAGACACCCTTTGTGGATGTAAGGTCCTCTCCTGTAGTCCATACAAACAGCAGTAAATTCTTTGAAACTCCATCTTTATAAGTGAAATCACCATGATTGAAAACAGAAAGAGAATTTTCCCAATGTCCTGGCCTACAACCCCACAGATATAATTCATCATTTACTTCATGGCTGTTTGTTGGATTTTGCTCTCTACCAATTGGCTGTGGTGTTTGCCTACAAAATACATTATTTTTGGTCATTTTGGTGTCTGATACACGCGGAAACTGATGACCATGTTTATGAATATCCAAAACAAACTGAGAATTTTATGACACTTACACATGGAATTTCTCGTGTTTGGAATGGAATGAGCCCTCTCTCTCCAGAAGGACACATCCTGCTTATAATCCCAGAGAGTATTTGGTGCAGGTTCGCAAGAGTCAAAGCTTGGGGTCCCCAGAGTGTGCTTTGAGACTTGGTCCTAATGTGAAAGGTGGTATATCAAATGTTCATATTATTATAATGTTGTGCAGTGCTTTTTCAACTACTGATCAGTGGAGGTTGAATTTACATTGTATTTCAAACAACTTAATAGACTAAATTGGTCAAAGAATTTTGATCCTATTAGTAAAACCGGTTTAGTTGCTAATTACAAATGCAGTAATGATAACCTCAGTAATAAAATCCTGCTGTATTTTATCTTGGTGTCTTTGCACATCTTTGTAGTTGATGGAAATGGTTCCTTATAAGGAAATGTACATTGGAGGTGTAAATTGAAATAGCTGTATTCATTTTGTTTTTAATTTGCATTTGATTTCACAGGTGTGAGCCAACCAGATGCAAAGTTTGAGGATGCGATAGTTGATGAGGAAGCAATTCTAAGTGTAATGGAGAACAGCCAGACTTTTCACCCTTTATCTCAAAGGTTAATTCAGTCCCCAATTCTCAGTGAGTATAAGATTCAACACTTATCTGTTGCTTAAATCAGATATAATATTTTTTAACAAAATTGAAACATTTATTTTTCCAAATGGACTTTAAGTTAATGCGTTCTGATTGACTTACGGCAGAAAGTGGTGAACAAGTGGTGAGAAAGTCCTGTCCCCTTATGGAATTCAATTGTCAAGTTTAAGAGGAACTTCATGAAGAGAGTGGTGAGAATGTGAAACTCGCTGCCGGAAGCTGTAGTTCAAGCCAAAAGCAGCAATGTACTTAAGAGGAGCTTGGTATCGCATCTCCATTCTTTTCCCTTATTATCTTCAACAAACGGTTTTAATATTCCCCATGAAATAATTAGATTTCATCCCTCCGCCCCCCTCGGATTTCTGGGGTCATCTGCAAAGGTGCCAGTATTCTCTGGTAACTTGCCCAAATGGCAATTGTTTACATATGAGCCTTAATGGCAGATATTGGCAGGCAATTCAAGAGTATCACAACTGAGCCTTTTGCTGACTTGCACAATGTCTACTTACTTGCACTTTCTGAGGGGGAGGGGGGTCTATTGAGAGCAATCAGGAATGAGAACTCTAGGTATGGATTTCTCCCCGCTTTTCTTCCTGATCTAGAGGCTCTGAAGCTGCCTTGCCTGAGATCAGCTAACTGCAGAAGCCAAAATTTTAATGACTTTCTGGTTTATATGGCTTCTCACAAATCTTTTCTCACCAGGTGATCAGGAGAGATCATATTCTTGTTTTTAAATTTAAAATGAATGTGCTGATCTCCATGCTAAAGCATTATTTGGATAGTTTGTTTGAAATTAATCTTAGTCTTGTGCAGTAATGAATCACCTCAACTATTGTTTACTGTTTTGTGAACTCCCTGCCACAAGAACACAAAAGCCTTAATATCCATGCTGCTGTGAATAGTTTTTGATATCTACCGTTTTGAAATTGGTAGACGAAGACATTCAGTTCTTGTGGTGAGTGAGATTTGCTGTATGTGACCTTAAAAAAAAAAAGCCACTCTTTGTTCACATAGATACCAGTCAGGATCAAGCAATGGTGCACCTGTTAGCAGGGCTGGAGGAGGATGGATATGAAGTTGAAAGGTCCCCTTTTGCATCTGGTGGGTCTCTACAGCAACACTCTATAGGAAACTACAGCTATCAGCAGAACAGTGATAACGAAGAAAATGAGCCTGAAATTCAGAAGGAAGAGCTGGAGCTGAGTTTAATCATGTCTCAGCGCTGGGATGGTGAATTTACAGATAAAGTTGGCAAGATGAGGTATGAAGTTTACAAATATAAATGCATACATTTAAAAATGCTAATGCAACTTCCTTAATAGAATATCGCACAGAAGCAAGTCATTTGTCCAACTAGTGTGTACCATGTCATCTTCTATAGTGAGAATAATTTTCTAAAGGATTTTTTTTAACTTGATTGTTAATTTGTGATCAATTATTGATCTGAAGAAAGTTTGTTTTTAAATAAAATTACACAAACCAATGTGGAAAGATGTTTAGAGTTTAATTAATTTAAAAGGCACTTTGTGTCTATTCTATCCCAATTCCAAGTGAGTGGAGAAGCATATTACCAAATATCCTTGAATACAGAAAGATTTCTAAGTTGAAACTTTATTTATTTAGATTCAAGACTGCAATATTTTGCGAAAGTCTTGACTACTGTAAGTATGAAATGAGGTTGCCAGTAAAATATGTATGTTCTTTTAAACTCTTAGATTTTCTGAGAAGAACATAAGTGACTGCTCATCAGAGGAAGATTATGTATTTTCTGATGATGAGATGGTGTGGAGAGGAAACCGGAACATGCTGGCTAATCTTTCTATTCCTCAGCTTGATGGAGCAGCAGATGAGAATAGTGGTATGACCCAGTATTTACATATATCTTTCAGAATGTAGAAAGACATGAGTGTTTAATTGTGATCTCTATTTTATTATTGCTTTTAGTAAGCAAATCCTGAAATACAATTTTTGTATCTTATCTCTTAATAGCTACGAATCCTTTAAATTCCAAAAAGTACTGTCTACTCTGTTTTTGAAGCCCTTTATAGTTCATTGTTGCACTACTGAAGTGTTAGATGATGGGCACGTGAAACAATTTAGTACCCTTTTTGAATGTTTTACTTTTGTTGTCCTTATTTTGAAACCATGAACCATTTCTCTTGAATTAACTATGTAATAGAAAAAATGTTTTCATCCAACTTTTCTAAATCCTTCATAAGACCTCTACCAAAATCCCCCATTCAGTTTTCTCTTCAAAAACTTTTTTTCAGATTTTCTTCATTATATTTTCTTTCATTGTTACTGATTTTAGATAATGCTGTCAATGAAAAAGATTCAAGAACTCATTCGACGTTAGCAGTCCAAGATAAAATACTGGCAAAGACTACTTTTCACAAAGAAGCTGTGATATTACAATCATCATCTGCTCAGGTTGGATTACAGTGCAACCACACAGGTACCATACATAATACAGTCAATGATTTCGACTCTACAGGATCTCTGTCTTATCAGAATTCATTCATCACAGAAATGATTCCCGAACACTCAGCTTCTAAGTTTTCTAATGAAGCTACTGGTGATTTAAAATGTAATACACCCAGTGAAGACTTTGACATTTGCAATGCAAAGTTAGTGGATGCTACTGTGGTAGATAAGTCATCAGATACAGTGTGTGAGCGCAACTGTATAATTAGTGGCTGTGAAAAGCAGTTATCATTGCACACTGATAGACTCCAGAAAGTAAAGAAATACATCAGCATTGACAAGAATTTACCTATACAACAAACCGATCTAACCAGTGATGAATTTTATAATAATTCAATTATCAGTTCCTTAGATGGGAGGAAAGCTAATAACATGCTTCCTACATTCAGTAAAAAGGAAAACTGCATTTGTGCTAAGCCTATGATTCCTCTAATAGGTATAAAAAATGGGCTTCAACTTTTGGAAGAGCCCAAAACCACAAGAACAGATGTTAAGGAAATGTGTGTTGAAAACAACGTTGAAAAAAGTCTTAATGAACTTAAAATTAGATATGAAGACTTTCACGCAACCAGAAGGGAAAAAACTATTATTGACCAACATGAAGCACAGTATACATTTTTTCCCAGTGTTGTACTTCCCAACTGCCTCAAATGTCCAGAAAAAGTCTTTAGTAAATCTTGTAAACTTAAGAAACAAGATGACCGAAGGTTAAAACTCAAATTGAGTAGAAAGAAATCAAATACCACTCTAAAAACTATAGCAAAATCTGGCACTGCAAAGATGAGGAATGTAATTTCTACTGAAATAAATACTTGTAGCAAAGAATTACTAAATAATGTATCAGTTGATCATAACTCTGTTCCAGTTGATGTAGCTTGTACTAGTGATGCTGGTGTTAAGGGAATTATTTCAGAAACTGAGATATTTAGTATGGAAGAGTCTCCAGAGAATGGCCAGGAAGGTCAATCATTCAGACTAGCATGCAGTAAATATACACTGAGAACAAAACGGAAAGTAAGCTATGAGACGGAAGACTGTGAACCTGGTCAAGGCTCAGAAATCTTGAAGGCAAGTCCAACTGAATCTGAATGTTCAAAGGCTAAGGAAAAAGAAATGGATAATTCTCAGCGCTCACGTAAACGAAGAAGGCTTAATAAGAAGGAGCCACCTGTGATTATAAAATATATTATCATTAACCGTTTCAAAGGTAGAAAAAATATGTTGGTTAAAATTGGAAAATTGGATTCAAATGAGGATCAGGTTATGCTTGATAATGATAAACTGGAAAAGTATCAAAAGCTTTCACCATTAAAAGACTGGTGGCCCAAAGTCACTGACCCTCCTGTTGCCATTAAACCTCTTGTAACACCTACTCCAAAGAAAGGAAAAAGAGCAAAGGTTCAGTCAACCTTAAAGAAAAGAACTGGAAAACTCAAAAAAACGCAAAAGAAGGAAAAACGTATCATTGCAAATAAAAGTCAAGTAAAAAGAAGTGAAGTTTCTACAAGAAAAATGGAGTTTGCAACTCTTTCCCCTCCTTCCCCTTGCTATAGCGCTGAAGCTGATGACTGTTTATTGGAATATAAAGATGTTATGTCTAAACTTGGCTTTATGTCTGAAAGAGCAACAAGCCCCTGTAAACACTCACCACCCCGATGCTGGTCACCAAGTGAAATACAGGATGAAGAAATGGCACCCATGGTTTCATTGGAAGAAGATGTGGTAGTAAGAGACTGGGATTCAGATGATCTTAACAATTCTGGAGGGAAAGATTCAATTCAAGGAAATGGGAAACCTGAAAAAAATGGCAATTAAAATCTCGGAAGAAATCTTCCTGCAACTCCAGCACTACAGCTAAGAAGAAGAAAATATCCCACAAAACTAAGCAGGTGACAGATGGTGGACTAAATAAACCAAAAGAACAGCCACCAAAGAAAACCAGGAAAAGGAAGAGTCAAAAACAGAAAAGTACCAACCCAGTTCTTGATGGAAAAAAGGAAACCTTTCAAAGTTCAGAAATGAAAAGACAAAATGGAAGTTCTCAGTATGTCAATGATGAATTTCATTTTTCTAAAGAGCCACCTAAAAGTAAATTTCATGCAGATTTTGATGGTTCATTTGTTGCAGAATCCGAGGCTGTTTCCAAGGCTGGTGAGCAACCAGATATTCCTCTCAGTGTGTACTCAACAGGGCACCTTCCTTCAACCCAACCTTATTCTGAAGAATTTCAAGGAGATTCTGGGGGTTACTATCGTTCTCTGTTAGAGACTGATAACCATACAGACTTACCTGGCTTTTCTTTTCCACCAGATGAGCAAGTTTCAGAAACACTTTCTCAATCGAGAACAACATATTCCCATTCAACTCCACATTTTAGTCTAAATAAAGCAAACCCTTCCTGTGTACAGTCTGATACTATTTATATGTTGCGTAATAAAACTGAGGTGACAAATTTCCGGTTACCAATGGACACGCACATTACTGCACAGCCAGGTTTTATTTCTCAAAGGGAACAACGCTTTGATCACTTGAGCTCCTCCTCCAGATTACCATCCCATTCAGAAACTTATCAACTGGCATGTCAGTCAAGTGAAAGTAGCTGCAGCGAGCATAGAAACAATCCATTAGAACAGAGGTCAGAGGTGTTGAGTCCCGCACAACTTGTCAATAGTCAACAACCTTTTGAAATTAAGAGAATGCAAAATGTAAAGGATGTATCTTTGCGTGAATCTGTACAAAAGTCGTCATTATTTCAGTCAGAAGGTGAGATTGATAGCAAGAAAAACTCTTCTTCTCAAACCATCCAACAATCCAAAGTTGATCAAGAGCCAAATCCTAATTCTTTACGTCTTGCCTCTGAGGAAAGTCGTCATTCAATGTGCTTACCAATAAATAATGTTACATGTTCAACTACTGAGAGTTCGAAGGTGGGGAATGAAAAGGATGGGCGATGTCTTGATCCTGCTACTTGCGGCCACAGTAAACCATTAGGGAAAAAAGTTTGGGGGAAGGTGCAAGAAACTAGAAACATTTTGGATATATCTGATTTTACCCCACAAAGAATAAAACAGAGATCTCTGTCAGAGACCTTTCTGGGTGCCAGCGTATCCCAAACTCAGAAATCTGAACAAATCGTAAGAACGGACAGTCAAGCACCAGTCAGTAATGGTCCATCTAGTCTTGCTGTTTTAAGAGAATTGCTGCATAAAAGGCAACAAAAAGCACAGGAGGCAAATGTTCAAACATCCACACTGAAACCTCAATTTAATCGAAGTACCTCTTATCCAACTGAGCAAAATGAATCAAGGAAAATTTCTGCTGACAATGAATTTTGTGTTCTACTCCCTTCTGCACATCCCAAATCTCCACAGACAACTGTTCAAAGAAAAACTACTAAAAATTCAAGAACTGTAAAGATTATGCAGAAAAAACCCAAAGCCCAGAAATGTGAATTACCAAAATGTGAGTCGACAAGGAAATCTCAGACTGCTCAGTCTAAATGTCCCTTTTCTGATGACAGCCCTGTTTTTCATTCTGACCCAGGCTTTGATAGTTGTTACAGTTTTGATAGTTTATCGCCAGAACTTCCACAATCGTACAATTTTGATATCAATACTGTTGGGCAAACCAGATACTGTACCATATATTCTGGGTGTCAGTTCATGCCAGCTGCTGAGCAAAACCTGCCTCAGAAGTTTTTAAGTGATATTCAGGAGTCTGTTCCAGCCCAAGCAGTATTAGCGGAAACTAATGTACGCAAGTGTCAAACCAGTGAAACGCAACAGCCTGACCAGACACATCAGCCTTTAGACAATACAGAATGGGTCAGATCTGGTTCAATAAGCCCTGACCTATTTGAAAAGTCGCCTTTTAACAATGGAGAAAAGTTGAAGCTTTCAAATAAAAATTCTAACCTGGCATTTTCAAATGCTTTATCAAGTTCTTACGAGTGCTCCAATATTCATTTGTCTTCATTGTCTACAATGGATTTGAAGGATCATGCACAGAATCAGTGTAATAGTTTTTTGGACAGTGATGCATCCTGTAGCCCTGCAAAATCAACAACTAGCCAAACAACACTGATAGATGAAGGAAATGGAAGAGATTGCTTGTCTGTCCATTCTGCTGGTTCAAGTCCAAAAGCAGTTGTGGCATTTCCTGGCGATGATAGTGCAGCAGCTGGCTGTGAAGATCAGGAGCTTTGTATATTAAAATATGGTAATAGCTCCCCAGCTACATCTAATAGTTCTCCAAGTTCTGTTAATTCTCCATCACAAACCAAAAATAATTGTTATATCAACCGTACATCAGGTGCTCACGTTTTAAAACCCTTAATGTCACCACCAAGTCGAGAGGAAATCGTGGCAACCCTACTTGATCATAATCTGGCTGAGGCTATCTACCAAGAGCCATTCTGCAGTGATCCTTCAGATGCCCCAGAAAAACCAAGGTTAGTCTGTTAAGATATGAAAATAACTGCTTGCACAGTCCACGATTCCAGACCATTGTGGAAAAATTTACTCAAAACTTTTTCAATTTTTTAGTCTGCAAACCATGTAATCTTAATTATTCATCATTAATTCCCTTCCCATGTAAGAATAAGATTGATCCATCAAACAATATCCTTTTAAGAAATCAACTCAAGTGGTTTCCTGTTCCCAATAAGCTTCAATTTCTTTCTTCTATCAACACTGAGTCTCCTATTGTTTTACATTTTCTGCAACAGTTTTATTCAAGTTTTATGAACTTTACAATGTTTTGCATTCTCTAAGATGGTTAACTTGGTGGAGGAATTCAGAGAAATAAATTTCTTTCATACACGATTTTGCCAGAAAGGGGTGTTGAAGCCATTTAAAAGGCAGCTTCACACCATTATGTTTAGCTAGCATAGACATAATGAGCTAGTGAATAGAAAGGTTGCAGTACAGTTGGAGGCAGTGCAGCTCATTGTGACTGTTGAAATTATCTGGTCTTATCCCATTCCCTGGCTCTTTTTCAATACCTTTAATATGATTGATTAATATTGTTATTTAAGTATTTATCTCATGAACTCATATCTCATATTTATCTTTAAAAGCCATTGTGGCGAGGCATTCCACATTCTGACAACAAGATTACATTTGTATAACACCTTTCACGTCGGAAGGACGTCCCAAGGCGCTGAGCCAAGGCGGGAGGATGTCCCAAGGCACCTTTGTATTGGATGGATGGGGAGAGTTCCAGCCTTTCTCCTTTTTCCCTTTGGTCACAAATTTCACTTTGTCCCCTCTTCTTCCCAATTATTATTGTTCCATTCGTAATTTTGAAAGCATAGCCTTTTGGGACAGTGTTATCTGAATTTTAGTATATAGGGATTCACCATATATTTGAACATTTAATCCAATATATTGAAGATGCTCCAAACACTTCTTCTCAAGACTCATTTTAAGCTTTGTTTTTTTTTAAAAAAAGCCTAGTTTCCAAGCTTTCTCACTTACTGTATGAATACCATGGAGATGAAGGCAGGAAGCATTCTGAGACCATCGATTAGGTGCTTGACAGTATTTCCCGTGCTTAAAACTAGGATTGCAGGAAAAGTAATAGTCACAAATTGGCAAAATGTTTTTATCGCAACATCATAAGTATTTTCATTAAAAAATATATATCTGCATAAACAAAGGTAATTCTAGGTTCTTTGAGTATTACTTTCACTGTCAATCATTCTCTTTGAAAAAAATACAATCAAAAGACAAAGAATGTACAGCAAAATATTTCTTGTTTACTTTGGCAATTTTTTTTAATGGAAAAGACAAAACAGCACAGATGGCATTTCCCGCATTGTCCTGTTTCCTTAAAGTCTGGTCACATCTAGACTTGGAATCAAAATGTGTACAATACTTTATTGCTTTTCTTTTTTTATAAGTTAAAAATTGACATTAAAGCTATACAGATTGATCAGCTGCCATTAAGAAAGTTGTACAAGATTGATTAAACAACAACAAATGGCATTTATGTAGCTTGCGCCTTTCATGCCAGGAGGACCTCCGAAGGAACAGGACAGTCAGGAAGGTCTTGAAATGTTACCTGAATATTGGTATATAGGGATTCACCATAAAGGTCCCTTGAAGGAGGCAAGGGAGGGGGTGAGGTGAAGGTATTCTGGAATGGAGTTCGAGAAAGTGGGGGTAGAAAGACTGAAGGCCCAACTGTCGATAGTGGGGCGGGCAAGGTGGGGGGCATGGAGAGGCCTGTCGAGTGGAGGAAATGGGCTGGCTGATAAGGTTTTAGCAGGTCGCAGAGGTAGGGAGGGGCAACACCATGCAGGGCTTCAATGTGAGGACAATGATCTTGAACTCGATCCTTTGGGGGAATGAGGATCCAGTGGAGCTGGGTAAGGATGAAGGTGATAGGCTTGTGGAGCAGGAGAGGACACAAACTGCAGAGTTCTGAATAATCTGTGGCTTGGGAAGGGAAGAGTTGAGCAGTCTGGAGAGCAGGGAGTTTGCATTCTCAAGATTCCAAAGGTAACGAAAATGAGCAATGCAGAAATATTTGTTTTACAATCTATGGTGAAGGCAGTTAAAGAGAAGCTCGTTGAAGTCCCATGTGTACAATTCTATAATCAAGGTAATCCTACATTTAACTTCAAATCAAACTTTCAAAAAAATCTTTCCAACTTAAATGAAAATTGGTAAAAAGGAAAACCACCATGACTGGTATCAACCAAAGTCATGGGATAAAACCATGTAAAGTGCCGTTAGATGCATGATGAGAGAGTCAGTGTTCAGAGAGATGAACATCAATGAAGGTAATAAGAGTGTAAGGTGAGAGGTTGATGATGTAATATTGTAAATTCTTGTATAGCAGATACAGTAGATGTAGGGTTTGTCATGCAGGTTATATTGTCCTACTTTGATGGCTACTGGGTAAATAAGTATTCCAGCTTACTGAACATTTTTTTTTTCAATTCCATTATAGGGAGATAGGAGGACGTTTTTTGACTGTTGAAACCAGACTACCCAATGAGCTGCCTGAATTTGATGGTGATTTTTCATTGGAAGGCCTGCAATTCTGGAAAACTGCCTTATCCGCAATGACCCAAAACGTCAGACCTGGCTCCCCTGCCTTTAATGGAAATGGTCATTATGCTGCTCAGGGAAGTGAAAGAATTGGTACAGGAGCTCCTGAAGACCGAAAGATCATAATCCTGCCATGTAGGAGTGCACCCAGTGTACAAAGGGTGCATTTGTGGCTTCAGGCAAAAAGGGAGTATGAGCGGTCAAAGAAATGCTCAAAAAATCAGGTTGAGCTAACGGAGCACATCAAACAAATTCAACCCACCCATCTTTCTCAAGCAGGTAAGGATCCCAGGTCTGAAGAGTTGACCAAGGCAATTTCTAAAGCTCCTAACCAAGAACAAGTTGTAACACATCCAGGTAAAACAAGTGCATCTGACGCCTCCTCTGAAACTCCACTTCTACAAACCCCAGGGGATTGTACCTTTGGAGAAACACAATTGCCTAAAGCAGCAGGTGCAGATGATGATGATGATGATAATGATGATGATGAAGAGGAGGAGGAGGATTATCATGCATACAGTTCTCCCGATTCACCAATGTTGCCTCCTTGGCAGCAACCAAGTTCTCCTGATCCAAGGCAATGTGAACCAAATGAAGAGAATGTGGAGGTGACTGATGCAAAACAATGCCAAGGCACTGAGTCCACACTACAAGTTGGCGTGGCGCCAACTTGTAGCAGTGAGCCACAAGGTAGCAGGCCAGGTGATGAGCAGCAGCTGCTAAAGTCACCACTTCAATCCAGATTGCGAAGTGCTGGGAATTCTGCATCCATCGTACACAGCACACCCATTGCACAAAGAAAAAGTGATGGAATTCCTGAAGCACTTTACTGTACTCCTATACAAATGGGTAGGTGTTGAATTTTATTAGTCATCTTGAGTTGAAGTTACTAAAATATGTTAAGCATATCAAAATTAGATTTCAGATTCAAAAATTCAAATATTATGGTGTTCTGAAATTCACAGCATCTTTTATTATAGGCCATCATAGGGCATTCAGGTTATTTTATTTCATTCACTTAATAGAATACCACCAATAACCTGTGTGACCTTAATTCCATTAAGGGAATACCGCATGTGTATTCTTCTCTTCTACATCACTTTCTTTTTTTCCCTTTTACCCTGTTCACCTTCCTTGTTATCTGTTTCCCTTCTTGTATTTGATGTGTTCGCTAAAACTCGCTTTCACAGCCACATCTCTTTTCTTAGCAACTGTCTCAGGTTCCAACTCATTCCATGTGGATTCCGGCTTAAATTCCACCCTTCTTGCTTCAGATACACCCTCTGAAGATGACCCATCCCTCCCTCCAATCCACCCCTCGTATATTCACTATCCCTTCTGACCTTCCCCTCTAATCTTGAACAATCGGTCCACCTCTACCTCCTCCCCAAGTCCACAAACAGGACTTATAGTAGACTTATAATTTCTGCCTGTTCCTGCCCCACAGAACTTATTTCCTCTTACTTAGATTCTATTTTTTCCCCATTGTCTAGTCCCTACCCACCTACATCAGCGACTCTTCTGACGTCCTCTATCACTTTAACCAATTCAAGTTTCCTGGACCTAACCGTCTCATTTTTACGATGGACATTTAATCCCTCTACACCTCCACCCCTCACCAAGACACCCGGCAGGCCCTCCACTTCTTCCTGGAACAGCGGCCCAACCAGTCTCCATCCACCACCACCCTCCTCTACCAGGCTGAGCTTGTTCTCACATTGAACAACTCTTCTTTTTACTCCACTCACTTCCTCCAAATAAAAGGTGTCACTTTGGGAACCCGCATGGGTCCTAGCTATGTCTGCCTTTTTGTAGGATACATTGAACAATCTTTGTTCCAGTCCAACTCAGGTCTCCTCCCTGACCTATTCTTCCAGTGCATTGATGAGTGTGTTGGTGCTGCTTCATGCTTTCGCCCTGAGCTGGAAAATTTCATTAATTTCATTAAATTTATTACATTTCCAACTTCCACCCTTCCCTTACCTTCAAGTGGTCCATCTCTGACTCTTCCCTTCCTTGACTTTTGTAACTGAAGTCCTTAAAATGGACAAATTCAGGCCAATGAGTCTGGTGCTAGTCCCTCCGCTGAACCAAACAACTACACTTTAATCTCATTCCCTCTGTGGCCTTTTATATTTTTGGTATATTAATACTGAGAATTTTAGATTTAGAATTGATTTTAAATGAGTTTCTCCCAACTCAGTTGGTTAATAGTCACCTACAGCAAACTCCTTGCACCTGTTGATTCATAGATGTAAAAGGGTTAGGCAAAGATTGACTAGGAAGAAAGTTTTCTCTCTTTCATGGTGAGACTTCAATACAAATACACTATTTTGGTAGTTTGGAGGCAGAGAGCAACAGGAACTGGGAGGGAATATGTTCAAACCTGAAGAATTCAAACTTGGCAACCCACCCCACTACCACCGCCAAAGGCAGTGGTCCATTTGATAGCAAGAGGTTAAAATGCCTTGATGCAGGCTTTCTTTTGGCCATTCAATGGAGAGTGAACCTACCTTTCTCTTTCAGGTGCTGATCTTCATGCCTGTGCATTTGCCCCATTAAATTTCAACAAGCACAGTTTTTCTTGCAAGGCTTTTCCTCTTTGGAAGTATAGCAAATTATTAAAAAATAACCTAGGTTATAACTTACTTTAATGAAAGGTAGGGGCGGTCTCTATTACAGGCTAAATCAATTGAAGTCAATGTCTGCAGTCTGCTTTACATATCTCAAATAGCACCTGTAAATAGTGGCATTTGTGTGTAGACATGAACATCCTGCTTAGTGTTTGCTGCAATATGCAAACCACCTAGCAGTTCCAACTGTATTCTTACAATGATCAAGTGGTATAGTATATGGTGCCTATAGTCTTATCACAGCAGTAAAAGTCTAGAATTGTAATATATTGAGTAATATCAATAGTACTAACATATATGGGTAACTTGAATTTTAAGTGCCAGTTTGTGTACGTATAGAAAAAAATTAGGGACCATTCCAGATAGCTATCCATTGATCCCTGCTGGAAGTGTGTGTGTGTGAGAAAGAAATGCTGCACGGATAAATTTTCTGCCAGCATAGGTTCATGTGTGAAGAGTAGTAAATTGGACAATGTTTTCAAAAACTGATGGCTCTTCCATGTAGTTTGTTGTCTCAATTCATTAGTGTGTGTCACAGAGTGGTGGAATGTCACGTTGTGCCCTTGATCTTACCATATGAATGAGTATGCAGTCTGAACAAGGCTACATCAGTTGTCAGCAAACTATTTTCACACTGGAAGGGATGAAAAAGGGGGAGTCTTGGAAATTTAAGTCAGATTAAGAACAACGTATGTAGAGGTCTTGGCACAAAGCCTTTTCCATCACAGAATGGCAAAATGATATCATACCATGGAACTGAATAGTGAAGAGAGTGGGTCTAATGATCATTCTAAATAGCTTAATGGAAGTATGTTGTAAGGGTTTACTACAGTTCGTCACTTGTTCAGATTTCAGTGTATATCCTGCATATCACTTACCAGATGAGGAATTCTAGTTTAGTTAAAATGAATAATTTAATGTTTTGCACTTTAGTAGATTGTTTGTTGTAAAAATGATTTTTGTTATGTTCAGTGAAGTATGCAAAACTTGTAGCTTTTACCACTTTAGAACCCAGGCTTCAAAAGATGAGTCAAAGAAAAGCCAGCAATTCTGACACCTTGAGGAGAGTGCTTCTCACAACACAACTTAAGGTAAAACATGATGATAATAATAATAATAATCATAATAATAAACCTTGCATTTGATATAGTATATTTTCATGTCATTAAGATGGTGCAGAGGTGAGGGTAGAACATGAGCTGTAGAGTTCTGGATGATCTGTAGTGTATGAAGGGAGGAGTTGGGCATTAAAGTGCTTCAAAGAATATATTGTAAAGTGGAATAAAAACAAAAGTTGCTGGTAACACTCAGCAAGTCAGACAGCATCTATGGATTGAGGAAAGTGAGTTAATGTTACAGATCAATGGCCTTTCATCAGAACTCAAATTGTAAAGTGGAGTGACTGGTAATTTGTGGACGAAATGTTGCAGCCAATTGTGCACAGCAGTGTCCCACTAACAGTCGTGGATTGAGTGACCAACTTATTTTTTGAGGTATTACCTTAGGGAAGCGATCCACCAATTGACTGACAACTGGGTTCCTACTTACTGGATTACCGATTCAACGGCGCATCGCCCCACAGCACAATAGCACATAAGAGTTATACATAATGCAGCATTAAGAGTTCATAGGTTGGTTATATTCATTTTCTTTGAATGTATGAAGGTATCCAGTCTCTCTAGCTCAGCTTTCCTAAACCTCAGCCTCTACTTCGCCCTCTGAGCTGCCAAATCCTCGTTTATGCATTCATCGTGTCCAGGCTGGATTACCAAACACCCTGCTTGCTGGACTCACCAACTCCTCCCTTCACACACTACAGACCATCCAGAACTCTGCAACACATGTTCTACCCTCACTCGTGCACCAACCACCATAAGCCTATTCCCCCAATCCTCACTCAGCTCCACTGGCTCCAAAAGCCCCAGCAGATCAAATTCAAAATGTCCTCATATGTTTTTTTTTAAATCCCTTGCTAGAACTCTACTTCTGTTATCTCCTGCATCTTACCACCCCAGCCACTCCCACTAAGCATAAAATAGCCTGATTCATGTTCCTTGTCTGACCTGCCCCACCATTAGTTAGCAAGCTTTCAGCCATTCTTCACCTGGTTTCTGGAACTCCATCCCAGATTGCGTCCACTACTTTCCCCTTCTTTAAAGTCCACCATAAGACGTTTATCTTCAACCCCTTTTTGGCCATCTTTTTCTCCAATATTCCTCAGCTTTCCCCGACCCGAAGCTGAGGCTCCCAATCAGCTCTGTGAAGAACTTTGGACATTCTCCCGCATGAAATGTGCTACTGTGTTTTTTTTTCTTTCCAGCTCTTATGAAATTTATCTACCTGTCAAAATAAGTCAACCAAAAGCATCTTGTCTGAGTACTGTCTAGTTCTTTGATATGGTCATATTTAAGGTGTCAGCCTGACTCAATGATAGCCCTCTTGCCTCTGAATCAGAATATTATGGATACAAGCAACGTATCAGGACTTTAAGATCACAGTCTAGGCTTAAAATGGGCTAAAGGGCAATCTTCATCCAAACCAATCTTGAGAACTTGTGTTATCTTGTGAGGCTAATATTTCAATGCATTGGATGGAGGACATTGGTGCCATTTAAACTGGTCTCATCTCCTATTCAGGTGGACATTAAGGATTCCAAGACAATGGTTGAAACGAGAAGGCAGTTTTCCAGATATCCTGACACCAATTCCCACATTTTAAGACATGGTCATTCACTTCATGGCTTTAGTGGGACACCATTCCAGTCTAGTTTCCTGCGAAGATTGATACATGAATCTCAGCGATTTGGTGGGGTACCAGAAGCCAACCAGTACCTGTAGAACCGCACATCAGCATTAGGAAGCTGGAGACCAGAGGCAGAAGGATATGCTAATGAGGGATAGAGCTAACAAAATATTTAGACTCATTTTGAAAGCAGAAACGGGTTGGCAAGTTAGAGGGATTGAGAGAAAACAGTATTTTACAAAATACAACAATGTACTTCATAAAATGTTTCTGTGAACATTTGTTTTCATGCAGCTGTATGCATTTACCTTTTCCTCACTCTTCTAGAATCAATTTGCAGCTCATTCTTCTGTTAAGAAAGACACCTCCCAGATTGAAGGAGCCACTCTAAACAACTCGTATGGTTTCAAGATTAGCCAACAAAATCTCAAGGATGCAAAAGCTTTACATGAGGTATTTTATCTTCACCTTTATTTGTCTTGTGAGGTCGTGAGCCCTGTGAAAACTGTGAGCAAAGTTTGCACCAGTAAATTAGAATGTTCACATCGTCTCTAAGCTTTTTGTTCTTGCTTTATTAGACTGTTAATTTCTTTTTAAAAAAGGTATCCAAATCAACAACGTGAATGCCGTTTATTTTCTTTCTCTCTGGTTGAGTTCAGATGTGAATACTGATTTAATTTGAAAAAATACTTCTGATCTAAATTAATTTAATATCCAAAAATGCTAAGCTATTGGCTCTTACATGTTTGTGTTCCCTTCTTTGCAGGTGCAGTACCTTGTTCTCATGAGTATGGAATTACATGCTCGCACAAGACGAGATTTGAAACCAGACCCTGAATTTGATCCTATTTGTGCCTTATTCTACTGCATTTCATCAGATGCACTGCTCCCAGGATCTGATAAAACAGAGGTCATCGGTGCTCTATTGGTTGATAAAGACCACATCGACTGCAATAGAGACTCATCTTCTGGTATGAAACACAGGCTACCTATCAGTGAAAGATATGAGTCATCATCTATTAATGAAAAAGATGAATTATGATGGCAAATTTAATATGCCCATAATACGAGTACAAAGTCCAGAAGCTACTCAAATTAACTTTAAACAAAATTTAACTTGAACATCTGTAAAGTTGTTAGTAACTTAGAAGATGAAATTTCTCTTGCTACCAAGTGTAGCGACTTTCTAGATGTGGGTGTATAATGGGGGAAAATACTTCAGCAAAATAGTTGAATCTTGGGACAACTGTAAGAATGGAGTCCTGTAGCTTAGTGTTTAGAGCACTCACCTCGCAAGTGAGAAGACCTAGGTTCGATTCCGGGCAGGGTGAAATGTTGGCAAGTTTGCCTAGTCCTGTTTACCTAGCAGTAAGTAGGAACTGCTTGTTAGTCGATTGGTGGATCACTTTCCAGGGATAATAATCACTTAAAAACATATTATACATATTTGGTCACTCAATCCACAACAGATTGTAGGAAATCTAAGACTCTCTCAACCATACCATACAATTCAAACATTAGCATTGTCTGTCTGTTTTGCAGAAAGTTTCAGGGAAATGATATAGCTAATATAAAATGTAAAAAAAAAAACTGGATTCCTTCATATTTTGGCATTAAAGCAAATTTCATTTATGTACTGTTCATTCCAGGAGTCCGGAGTCAGGCCCCACTGCTTGTTAGATCTGGTGTCACAGGTCTGGAGGTTACTTATGTGAATGATGAAAAAGAGCTGTTTCAAGAACTTCTTAACCTCATTAGAAGGTATTTATTTATGGTTCTTACGAAGACTGAATATTATAGTTTCCTGCACATGCTAAAATTAATATTGCAGGATCTTCTGTAAAGAGTATATTGTGAAGATGCCCCTCCTGATTATGAATTTAATATATTTAATCTGGGACACATTTCTACACACAAATGTTTTAGCCTGTTCTGAAAGCAAATCTGCATTTCTGCCAATAGTTTTGCTTTGTGCTTCCCAGCAATACTAATTGTGGCATAGATTGGTGGCTACATTTAATCATGATATAATCTTATCGTAATCCATGAGAAGATGGCTGCTTTATTTTGTGAATGGGGAAGTTGCAAATGAGCTGTGAAGACCTGCCCTGAGTGTAATGCACATTTAAAGATTCTTGTCAAGTAATTCTATACAACAATTTGTTTGTGCTTTTGTTAAAATTATTTTGCCTAAAAGAACAAGAGTACTACAACCCTCAGTGCAACCCTTCTTTAAACTAGCTGTAAACTTTATTGTCCCTTGCTCATTAAATATACTGTTTATAGTATTGGCAATTAAGCTGCTTTGCTGTCATCAGTATTATGATGAGTGGAATGATAAATTAGTAATTCCGGTTCCACATCACAGTCAAGGTTGTTGTAAAGTAAAATGCCCTATTCCAGAATTCTGAGTATGTGCAGAACACCAACATTTAATGTTTTTTTTATTTGTGGGTGGTTCAATGAAATACCTGGGAATTGTCAACGTACCACACATTAGTGAGCTCATTTGATGTTGATTTTTTTTGCGCTGCTCCTTAATTATCTCTTTCAGGAAGTGTGAGCAGCAGGTCTCCAGCTGAACTTCCAGCCAGTACAAACCAGAGATCTGACTGGAGACCAGCTGCTATCACTACCAGGAAGAGATAGTGTTTATTATGTTTAACCGCAATTCAAAGTGCCTTTGTTCCTCATCATTCCTGATAAATGCTTGTTATTAGTCATAAGAACATTGAAGAATAGGAAAAGGCTTGCCCTTTTTGTGTTGAGTGTTCATCCAACATTACCTACCTGCCTGCCTCAGTATTTTTTTAATAGTTTTCTCCAGTTAATAAATCCAAGAGAAGACTAATACAAAAATTCTGTTTTTGAACTGTTAGATATGATCCTGATATTTTGTTGGGATATGAGGTTCAGATGCATTCTTGGGGCTATCTCCTTCAGCGAGCTGCAGTACTGGAAGTTCATCTCTGCCAGATGATTTCCCGTATTCCAGGTAAAACTATTTTCAATTAATTACTCTTTAAAATAATCTTCCCAGACTTCAGTTCAGAGCTTTATATCTAGAATTATGTGTCCACTGGAGGTGAGTGTGGTAGATAATATCCTAATCTAGAAAAGTAAACCTTAAAATTATAACGATTATAAAATGATTTGAATCCGGAGATTAGATTAGTCTTGAACTCTAGTCCGTGTTTCTGTTGGAGGATAGTCCTGTTTTTCTTCAAGAAGTTTGCAAAAGGCTGAAATAATTTGTGTTAAATTTTAAAGCCTCCCATTTCTTCATTAGATGATGTCACAGAAAATCGTTTTTCTCCAGAAAAAGATGAATACGGCGCAGATACCATGACTGAGATAAACATTGTGGGTCGGATTGTTCTGAATATCTGGAGAATGATGCGGAGTGAGGTAATGGATCACTTTTCTGAAAGTATGGGATAGGAATGCAGTCCCACACTGGGAGGAAATTCAGATTGTCTCAGATCATAAGAATGAAACTGCAACAGTTCATCAGTATCCATGGTATTAATGTCTTTAGGATATATAAAAGTAGCTGGTTAGTTAACTCTAAACTCCACTTCCTAAATCTCCTTAGCTGTCATCCAAACCACTCCATTTTTTCCAAATGTTATAAGGTACAAAAGAAGTGCATCATTTTTAATTTGGCACTAAAAATAGCCTTAACTTAAAATTAGTATTCCACCAAGATATTTCAAGGAAATGTTTAATATTACAGTGAAGTTATGGAACCGTTTAATATCGCATTTGGAATTGCCTGGAAAATTTCTTTGTTTTTTTGATTAAAATGTAGTCACTAAGCTTATTCCAGGTGAGTTGATTTCACTCAAATTGCCCAGTCATTAAAAGAAGAATCAGGACACAGAACTACAAAGATCCATATTACGTTTGAAAAGCAACATTCATGGTAAGTTGCAACTTTATTTCATTAATTTGATCCAATTTACTTCCTTCCACCCTCTCCAGTTTTTTTTCCTACTACTGGGGAATAGCTCCATGAGTGCAAGTCGCCCTCTGGTACCTCACCAAATAACTATTATTAATGTGTGAACTTTTGTACAAAAAATGAGTGCCCAGTTTTCCCCCATTGCGATGTACATCTCTCCAATTGCTCCTGTCTGGTCTCTTATTGTGATACACAGGCACTGATTCCACTTCAATATTCTGCACAAAGTGGCCATTTTTTATGTCATCTTGCCAGTGATTTGTCAATCTTGGCAGTTCACATGATCTTAGATGCTGCCATACATGCATAATAATAATCCTTGTATTTGAAATAGCACCTTATCACATCTTTGAAATGTTTCAAAGCGCTTCGCAAAATATACTGTAAAGTCAATTGACTGTATTTTGTGGGTGAAACGCGGCAGTCAATTGCACACAGCAGTGTTCCACAAACCGTTGTGGATTGAGTGACCAATTTTTTTTCAAGGAATTAGTAACCCCGGAAAATCAATCCGCCAATCGACTAACAACCTTTACTGGCATAGCCCTGCGACCCTATCACTCCCATCCTTGCCCAATTCCACTGGCTTCCCATCACATAGTCCAAGATCCTGGTCCTCACCTTCAAAGCCCTCCACGGTCTTGCTCCCCCCTATCTCTGTGACCTCCTAACCCCCTACCATCCTGCTCGCTGTCTCTGCTCAGCGGGCTCCGGCCTGCTTCGAGTCCCCCGCCTTGCTTGCCCCACTATTGGCGGGCGGGCCTTCCGCCACTCTGCCGCCACCCTCTGAAACTCCATCCCGCAGTTATTCTGCCTCGCCCCCTCCCTCACCACCTTCAAGGCCCTCCTCTTCGACCGTGCTTTCGATCTCTCTGCTTCCCCCGCTGCCCTCCACCCTCCCCAACCCCCAGCTCGGGTCCATAACTCTGTCTGTCCAGCGCCTTGGGACGTCCTCCTGCAGTGAAAGGCGCTATACAAATGTAATATTGTTGTTGTTGCTTTTACCTACTACACCATTAGAGGAAGCTCCCGATTTCATTTTGTGTGATTCATTTATCTTAAGTGTCAACTTTTAAAGTAATAGCTTGTGTTTATCTGTTACCACACTACGTTTGTCCCTGTAATGTTTTTATTATGCCAGGTGAGCATTTTAAGAAAATCATGTGCGCTACAGCAGCAAGGAAGCTAGGCTGCACGGAAGATTGACTGAAGTGATCAGATTTCCCTGAGATGGCTGTTTTGTCAGAAATCTTATTTTTTTTGATTTGACAAATGAGCAATGTTTGATCCTGTCAAAGAAAGCCATTAACAGAGCTTTGTAACCTTATCCATCAACAACTCAACTCAAATTCCTGTCGAGGTGAAATCAGTGTTGTACAGAACTTTTGTGTCTAGTGCATTTCACAAGTTCCTGCTCATAGAATTGTACACAGCAATTGGTCCAGTCACCAATTCTCTGTACTCCGAACATACTCTACTAGGCTCGGCAAACCTATCATTCCCTAGAGGATTGAGTTCAAGACCATCGTACTCGCTTTTAAATCCCTCCACGGTCTTGACCCACCCTACCTCTGCGACCTTCTAAAACCCAACCAACCCAGCTGCTCCCTTTCCCCATCCTGCCTGTCCCACCATTGGCATTCAGCTTTTCTGCCCCCAGGCTCTGAAACTCCATCCTAGAATCCCTCTGCCTCACCCCTTCACTCGCTTCCTTCAAGATCCGCTCAAGACTGTGTTTTTCACCTAATCCGCTTGCCCCAGTCCCTCCACCCCCCACCCTGAATCCAATCCCCCAGCTCGGATGTGAACCCTCAACAGTCAAACACCTTGGATTAATCTTCCGATGTGAAAGGCACTGCATTAAATGCAAGTTGTTGTTGTCCCAGTACACTCAGTTTAGTAAAAGAATTCACCATTAAGTTTAAGATCATCAAACATTTTTTACATTTCCATAATTACAATGAGTCAACACCTACACTTGTGTTGTAAATAATACATCAACTTGAGATCCAATAGCACAAGTAAATAGAAAACGTTTTTTATAAATGTGTTCCTCTTGAATGTTCAACTAATTTGTGATGCCAGGGGAATGTTTTACGTCCATTGCCTTCTGATCCCACACATAATGAATAACTTTTACAATGATTCATTTATTATAAATGCATCTGAAGGCTCAGAAAACTTCCAAGGGTGGATTATTGATTACTGCTTTGATTAATGATGCTATTATCCATGCAATGAAGCCATTATTTGTGGCTACAGCAATGCACACCAGTCTTCTCAAAAAAAATACCTTTAGAGTATTGAAACAAATATTCTATTACTTGTATGCCAATGCTATGCTCTGGAACACTCTCCCTCAATCCTTCCGCCTTGCCCCCTCCCCTCTTTCAAGTCCCACCTGAAAAGTTTCCTCTTCGACTGTACTTATGGCCACTCCCCCGCCCCCCCCCCCCCACCAATTCTGAGTCAGGCTCTGCCACTGTTAAGCACTCTGAGACTCTACCCTGAGTGGAGGGCACTATATAATTGCAAGTTATTGCTGTTGTATGCTATCAAATTCAGTTCATTTGTTAAATGCTGCATGTTGCATAGCTTTGCCAAAAGTAGAGGCATCAAAATGGCTATCAAAGAAAAGCAGTGGCAACCTTTAGTTGCTCTGGGGTGAAATAGGTGACCATTAGCCAGAGGATGAGATTCAATGTCAGTCCATTTTTTTCATTGCTGAGTCTAACTATTGTATTCATTTGAGATTGTACATGTATCTGAACTAAAAGCTGATCTTAGCAAGGTTTTCATTTGTTTCCTATAAACCAAAGCAGTTACATTATTTTGCATATATTTGCTTACATGAAAAGGAAAACAATATTTTGTGTGCAATAAAATATATTTTGTCATTTATTGTGTGTTTGTGATATCAATGCGCTATGGTGTGTTTCCTTCCTTCTTGCTTTCACATGTAATTTTGTTGTCATGCCAGTCTTAACTGTTGCTTTCTTAGCAGCTTCAGTCGCATTTGGATTTTTTTTATTTCTCTGTAGGTCCAGCAGCAGGCAAGTTGTCTCTGCTAGCAATTTGATTTGTATCATTCAGTCCCAGAAAGATTGGACAGTGGAAGTCAAAGGTAGCTCTGTGCCTTAAGACCCATCAACAGCAATAGAGGCAAATATTGCATTGCTAGCAGACATGTCACTAGGATGATTCCAGCTAATACTTCAGTGTCATTGGTTGGAAACAATTTTAATAATGATACTGGTTTGCTTGAGAGCCAAACATTTGCCAGTATAATAAATCTTTTGAGAATGCAAAATCTAGAGACTTGAATCAAATTTGGAGAGGCAATTTCCGTCCTTACTACGCGAAAATCCTCACATCAGGAGCGGTAATTTTAGTAAGAGAAATAGCATAGATTTTAGTGTTACTCTACTCTGTATGGTTAGTTCTTTCAAAGAGCTGGCATGATGAGCTAAATGGTGTCGTTCCGTGATGTAAGATTCTATCTAATGGGAACATTTAAGATGTATCCTCATCAAGTTTTGAAAGATATTTTACTTTGATGATACTTCCCCTTTTTAAAAACTCTATAGCAAATTCTTGGTTCTGATGTTTTTTTTCCAAGTTGTCTTTTAAGATGCGTTTCTGTAAATGTATTCTGATCGAAGCCTGTGAAATGCAGCATCAGTGGTTTTACTGAAAACAGAAAGACTGTTCAGTGTTCTGGTTGAAGCCATAAGAATTTTATTAAGCTACAAAAGATGGTGCAAAAATACCTAAATGTTGCATAATCTGCTTAGTAAAGTTTACCGTGAAACACATTTGCTCCAGTGAATGCAATAATATATTTGGTCCTGTATTTAAAGCTTCCATGGATTTTTTTAGGTTTAATAGAAGGTCGGACAATATTTTTAATGAAAATGTATTTCATGTCAAGTGTAGTTGATTGTACGAAAGGCTGACTGCAAAAGGTTTGTGAAGAAATCTCCAAAGGCAGTGACTGTGCTGCAAGCTATATTATTACTTTTTCTTGTTCCAGATTGCGCTCAACAATTACTCTTTTCAGAACGTAGCCTTTCACATGCTTCATCAGCGTTTTCCACTCTTTGCATTTCGCACCTTATCTGACTGGTTTGACAAGACCAATCTGTACAGGTAAGGTTTCAGTATAATTGTATTTTATTGATATTGTAAAGTAATTTGTGGAGTCCTGTAGCTCAGTGGTTAGAGCACTCGCTTTGCAAGCGAGAGACCCGAGTTCAATTCCAGGCAGGGCAAAACCTTGGGCAAGTTTCCTTACTCCACGCGCCTAATAATAATACCTCCAAAAACAATAATAAAAATAAATTGGCCATTTTCAATCTACGACTGTTTGTGGGACATTGCTGTGCGCAATTGGCTGCCGCGTTCGCCCACAAATATACAGTCAATTCACTTTACAGTGTGTTCTGTGAAGCGCTTTGGGACGTCCTCCCGACATGAAAAGCGCTATATGAAATGCAAGGATTATTATTATTAATTTGTTTTCTCACATTTGGAGTGTTTTTATTTGGTCTGCTGGGTATCTGACGCCTGCCATGATTCTGACTTTCTGGTTTCTGTCGTGTCTACTTCCAGTTTCTCTGTTTTACTATTTTTCTGATTAGTTTCATATCTAAGTTGTTATACATTTCCGACTGCTTTCCTGCCTTCTATTTTTCTCTGTAAAAACGCTCTCACTAATATATAGTGTGAAGTCCATTAGATGCTGGCCTGCCTCTGGTCAAGGGAAGCAAAAATGAATTCCAATTACAGTCCCACACCGCTTTGTGAATTTGCCCAACTTTAGTTGCATTTGGTGCATCTGCACCTTTGGACGTCTGGACCCTTCTCCAGTTCAAATTTCGGATTTCTAATTGATAAGATTTATTTTAATTAACAACAACTTGCAATTATATAGCGCCATCCACGTCTATGGACGCTTAGCAGGGGCGGAGTCTGACTCCGAGCCGGGGTTATGGGGGAGTGACCATAACCGCAATTTTCAGGCGGGGTTTGAAAATGGGAAGAGAGAGGGCAAGGCTGAGGGATTGAGGGAGTGTGTTTCAGAGCCTCGGGGCGCAATGGGTTGGAGGGCACGAGGGACAAAGCAGGAGGCTGGCTGGTGGATTGGGGTGTGAGGAGGTCAGAGAGGTAGGGAGGTGTCAGGGAGTGAAGGGATTTGAACACGAGTGTGAGGATGCTTTAATGCTTTATCTGACAGATGGAAGATGGTTGATCATTACATTTGTCGTGTGCGTGGAAACCTACTATTGCTGGAACAGCAGGATATTATTGGCAGAACCAGTGAACTAGCCCGGCTGTTTGGGATCTTGTTTTATCATGTGCTGACAAGGGGCTCACAGGTGAGTGGCTGTTTCTTTTCAGTTCCTGTGGTGGTCAAGATGCTGCTTTTGCTCCTTGGTGCAGTGTTACAGTTCAATGCTGCAGTGTTTTTATTTCACTTTATATGTGGAATAATTGTCGAATCAAAGAGAAAAGTTGTTAAAAAAAATCTTCAAAGCTTTTCGTAAAATAGTTTAAATTGCTAGATAATGCAGAGAGAACCTGCTCAAGCCACTTCTATATGAGTGTATTTAGCAGCTGTTTCTGTTTCTCATAGTCCCTACAATTTTTGATTTTAGATATTGGCAAATTTCACTTTCTGCTTTTCTTTCTCACAGTGAATGGATTCCTGGTTAGGAATGCACAACGTGCAGACTTTTTTTTGAAAAGGGAATTTTAATATTGTCCTTTATTGTCCTTTATTATTGTCTTTCTGACAATATTTAAAAGCTTTCCATCTTGTGGATTAATCCATCCCATCCACACTTGAAGAATATCTGAAGAACAATGAGCAAAATGTCAGACTAAAATTCCAAAACAAAAGTGTCCTCGTGCTGACTGTATTCATCAACATTTTTTGCAATTTTTTTTATTTTTGCAGTTTCGTGTGGAATCTATGATGCTGCGCATTGCCAAACCGATGAACTATATTGCCATATCTCCAAGTGTTCAACAACGAGCGCAGATGAGAGCGCCTCAGTGTGTCCCCCTTGTGATGGAACCAGAATCCCGCTTCTACAGCAACTCTGTCCTCGTTCTAGATTTCCAATCGCTGTACCCCTCTATCGTCATAGCTTACAACTACTGCTACTCAACGTGCCTGGGCAATATTGACTATCTTGGAAAGTAAGAGCGTATCCTCATTGCTGCTTTTGTTATATTAGAAATTGTGATGTCAATTTTTAATAGAAAACAAAGCATCTAATCATGAAAAATAAAGACCAATTTTTGTATTGAACTGATTCAGAAGCAGCGCGACATCAGATTGCTGGGTTAATGCCAAATGTGTTTATGAATTCAGATATCTAGTTCAAATTAGAAGCCATCCCTCAGATGAGACATTAAACCAAGCCTCTGTCTGCCTGTTCCGGTGGATGTTAAAGATCCCATGGGACTACTTGAAAGGCGAAAAGTGTTTCTCCCAGTGTACTGTTTGTCAAGGATTGTGTGTATAAATTTTAATATTGTCTCTCCCTCATCCCCACAAAATAAATCAATATACCCAACATGGGCGGTCTTTTGATCTATGGATGTTTTAAGTGAATTCAGTGCAACTCGCCTGGTTGAACTTCCTGCTTTAATTAGATATTCAAACAATATCTTCAAACATCTGCTGGCAGCAGCTCCCTTCCTCCTCCTCCTGGCTGTCAAGTGCAACTCCTACCACAGTTGGAGGCACAGTACTGATTGGATTTTGACTGTACATTTTAGCTGGAGAAAGATTAGGCTTTTCCCTTCCCCTCCATCTGCAGATGAATGCTGCTTTAGGTGATGATGATGAAAAGTATATTACTAGCAATATACATATGTCCTTATCTTTTTCCAGACATGAAGAGTTTAAGTTTGGCTCCACCTCACTAAGAGTCCCTCCAGAATTACTTCACCAGCTCTGGAACAACATCACTGTATCACCTAATGGTGTGGCATTTGTAAAGGTATGAACTGAAATATTGTATTGTATTTTAACTAAAACGGCTAGTCTGGGATCCCATGCCTTCTCAATTTTTTTCCATGCTTACTTTTTATTCAAATATATGTGATGGAAATCCTGGTTTTAGACAGGCAATGAAGTAATTAGTCTGAACCTACAAGAAACAACCTAAAATTGTTTGGGTAGTTGACACTGAACTGGATCTAAGCTTTGAACAAAAGGCTTCACTTATGGCCCAACATCAAGAAAAGAAAAACAAATATCACATGTTGGCACAATACCAGTTGCATAACTTTGATACTTTATTAAAAAGCAAATTTTATTTTGATTCTTCGTTCTTCTCTTTTGTTAGTTTTTCCCATGGGACAGACAACATCAAGAACTCTGGATACGGAACTGAGGCACGGCCTGCCTTGTATTAATTAAATGCAATCTCCAGAAATATGTCAGAAATGAACCAGAAATTTTGCTGACATCGTCTGCATTTTCTGCTCCATTTCTGTCACTTGGTTCAATTATTTCATGTTGATTCAGATCAAAATAAAATGTTGCATGGAACGCTCACCAAATACTGTACTTTGATATATCAGTGTATCTGCTGCACTGGATGTGAAGCAACCATTTTACCCTCATCTCTGGGGCGTATAGATAGGTGTTTTTTTTAAAACTCACACACTTAGTTTTACAGCAACTATTTATTTAAAGCTTTCCAATTGAGCAACTTGTTCTGGTGTTATGGAAGGAAAAGTTTTTTAATTTTTGTTTAAATGAATCTGTCTGTTACTAGCCATCGGTACGAAAAGGTGTGTTGCCAAGCATGTTGGAAGAGATTCTGAAGACCAGGATAATGGTGAAACAAGCTATGAAAGCCTACAAAAAGGACAAAGCCCTCACCCGGTTGCTTGATGCTCGCCAGTTGGGTCTAAAACTAATTGCCAACGTGACTTTTGGTTATACAGCTGCTAACTTTTCTGGAAGAATGCCATGCGTGGAGGTAAGCCATAAAATGAGGACTGCCTAAGATGCACGTTTTGAATGTGGGAGGAAACTTCACTTGTACACCTGCTGTTTAAAAATAATTTGACATGGGTAGAATTTCATCTGAGCACAACCCTCTGCAAGCCACAGCAATTTTATTCATGTTTGTTCCAAGTTTTAAAGAGCAGAGAAAGAATTTCTGCTTGTAAATGCTTCAAGTGCAAATGTAATTTAGGATTGGCCCCCATCATCAGACCTGCAATAATCCATAAAATGTAGAATTGTATTAAATGTAACCTTTTATTCAAAATGTTAAAGCCAGTGTGACCAACTCTGATACTTGTTTCCTTTTATTCACAAGAATACAAGAGAGCATGGTCTCTTGACAAATAATGACAATTCCTCAGAACAGCTTGTTGCAACTAACACACAATATTTGTTTTCAAAATGTTTTATGTAATTTTTTTTTAGATCGGTGACAGCATTGTTCACAAAGCCAGAGAGACCCTTGAACGTGCGATTAAGTTGGTTAATGAGACAAAGAAATGGGGAGCTCGCGTTGTATATGGAGACACTGATAGGTAATTTTAGAGTTCAGATGACTGCACCAGCAAGTGGTCAAATTACAGTTGGCTAACTTTTGCCTGGTACAATTTTGAAGAACTGTTTAACAGGAGATTCCTTTATTACAAAATCAAATGGGGAGTCCATTCAGTGACTGGAAATGTCATGCCAACTTGCGGGAACTCTGCTCTGTCAGAATAGATTTCCTACAATTTGTGTAATGTATTACTTCTTTTCTTACTTTTGGTTTCTTAATTAAGCTATTCTGTTAGAATTCATTGCATATTGGAATCCGGACGCAAGAACTGGAAGATATACGTGTGGTTGTCATGTTGCTACAGCACGAAAACATTTGCTTCACAAAGTGGTTGTGACTTTTCAAGGTCACAAGTTGTTCAATTTTATGTGCATAGGGGTTTAATGATCACTCCAAGTTTTGCTAAATTTTTTATTTTGAAATCTATTAAAGTTAAACAACGGAAACTCTTGAGGGCATGTGTATTAGGATTAGTGTATTAGGATAATTATGCGCAGTTTGCGACTTGCCCATTTGTACACCAGTAAAAATTTACCAAGTATTTCTGTGCTGTCAGGAATCACGAGAGTCAGTGTTGTACTTTTATAATAATAATATCCTTGCAATAGATATAGCGCCTTATCAAGTTTTCTAGACATTTCAAACCGCTTCACAGAATATACTGTAAAGTGAATTGACTATATTTTGTGGGCAGAACGTTTCACCCTGCCTGGGAATCGAACCCAGGTCCTCTTGCTTGCGAGATGGGCGCTCCAACTACTAGGCTACAGGACTCCACTCTTACAGTTGTCCCCAGATTCAACTCTTGCTGAAGTATTTGAAATAACAAAAATGCTGCAAGCAGTCAGAGTGAATGTAACTGGATATATGCCTATTGGGTCAAAGTTGGAATATCATCCATGCAGGAAACCTTGACTGAACTGTTTTGGTCTATTGAAAGTATTTGCTGATGTGATTTATGGGCATTGTAAAATGAATCCTAAGTGAAGAAGCTTTTGACTTTCTGTTCAGCTCTTTTCCTTGTTTACTCCTCCCAAAATCTTTAGAATCCCAAAGAGCAGTTGAATACTTATGCAGATAAAAGCTCTTTAAAGCTTAAATGGAAATTTCAAAAACATTGTAATTCTAGTGTTCGTTTTAGGGGTGAGTAGGATAGTTCAAGCAATGGTTAGGGCTATTCACATTTCCCCTAGCTTGCATACATACACAACGGTCTGGAGGGTGGGGGAGCTCTGGTCACTAAAACAGTTGTTTCTTTTTTTAATCTGCAGCATGTTTGTGCTGTTGAAAGGTGCCACCAAAGAGCAGGCCTTTAAGATTGGTCAGGAGATTGCTGACGCCGTGACTGCTACTAACCCAAAGCCTGTGAAGCTGAAGTTTGAGAAGGTAACTGTGATCAAAGACAATGCACAAACAAAGAACAATGTGCCCAAACTGTCACGGTCATGAATATAAATTTTGCAAGTTTATGTTTCATACTTTGAGTAAATGTACAATACTTGAGCACAGGCACTAAAATTATTTACGTGTATATAAAAACTAACATACAGATGAACAATATATTGTAATGATATTGTAGCAAATCATGTTACTTGCACTTTATTTCATTATATTTGCATTTTATCCTCATTTCACTTTTCCTAACATTTAGTTCCTGCCCAAGACCACTTTTCTTCACCTTACCCACATTCCCTATCTACATCCTAATCTCACACAAAACATGGATATTCAAGCAACTATTGTGTGTACATTTTGTTTGTTTCAATAGGTCTATTTACCATGTGTCTTGCAAACCAAGAAGAGGTATGTTGGTTACATGTATGAAAGTTTAGACCAGAAGGACCCTGTTTTTGATGCAAAAGGAATTGAAACTGTGAGACGAGATTCCTGCCCTGCTGTATCAAAGGTAATCGCACTTTAAATTATTTCCCATTGATTTTACCAGTGATTAGAGAGGAAATGTGTTGAAAATAGGTTCAGAACTATTTATTTTATCTTCAAGATGTGAACTGGATTTAAACATTTTCAGATGTGTGTAAACTATTTTAAAATACAGTATAGTAGTAAATGAACCCAAACCAACCTCTCCCAGTTAACTGAGTACAATTTAATCAATGGAGGTGGGAGAGGAGGAACAAGATCCAGTTGTGTGTATCAGTGTGGTTACTATGGTGCTTGGTAATTTCACACATAACTTCACACATGCACGCAAGTGGGCAATGCAGTGTGGGCACATTCCCAGAAACTGATGGGCATGGACATCTCTGATATTCAAAAAAAAAGTAGTATTTTTAAGTAAAATTTGAGAAAAAATGTTTTAAAGTGGTTTTAGCTTTAAAAATGGGTATTTATTGGTGAAAGTCAGTTAAATAAATTAATGGTCCTTAAACATCCATCTGGTATGAGTGCAAAATTACACATGAGATTACTTTAGTAATGACAGCCCCCTGCTATTATATACCAGGTAAGTGATGCTAATTTTAGCTGGACAGCCTATAGTAAAACCAGAGGACACAGCCTGCGATTGAAGGGGGATAAATTCAGAACGAATCTACCCAAACACTATCTGAGTGAGCGAATAGTGAACCTGTGGAATAGGCTCCCTAGGGAGACAGTTGAAGCAGGCAGTGTTGATTCTTTCAACCACAAGTTAAATAGTTTTCTTTTAGGAAATAACATTATGGGATATATTACATAGGTTGTTTGGGACATACGTGCATGTGACTGCCAGGAAGATGGAAGGCGAACGAGATGGACCTTGGTCTTTTTTCGTCTAGCATTTCTTATGTCAGTTGTCTATTTTTATGTCTGAAATTGCTTCACCTGAAATTTCCATCCTGCTTGTACTCCCCAAGTCTCCTTAACCATAAATGACAATATTCACATCAATAATTGTCGACGTGAAGCATATTTGGAATCCTGTAGCTCAGTGGTTAGAGCACTCGTCGAGCAAGCGAGAAACCTGGGTTTGATTCCCGGCAGGGCGAAATGTTGGGCAAGTTTCTTCACTCTACATGCCTCTGTATACCAAGCAGTAAGTAGGAATCCAGTTGTTAGTCAATTGGTGGATTGCTCTTCTGGGGCTAATAATTCCTTAAATAATAAATTGGTCACTAAATCCACATCCAGTCTTTATGGGACACTACTGTGTGCAATTGGCTGCTGCGTTTCACCCACAAAATATACTGTCAATTCACTTTGCAGTATATTCTGTGAAGTGCTTTGAGACACCTCGAAGACATGATAAGTCGCCATATCAAATGCAAGTATTATATTAACTTGCCATGCGAGGGATAAAGGTTGTAAATTACTCCCAGAGTTATTCAGGGGACAGTTTTAGCCTTTTAAAAAGTTTTAATTTGAGTTTATAGGTTTAAATATTCTTATGCTACTTAGTCATTTGAATAAATAATGGTTATAAAGCATTTAACAGACTGTGTGTGTGTAGCAGACTCGGAACCTAACCTGTGCATCTTCATGTCTTCAGATTCTAGAACGGTCAATAAAGCTGTTGTTTGAGACGAGAGACATCAGCCAAATCAAACAGTACCTTCAGAGACAATGTATGAAGGTGTTAGAGGGAAAGGCCAGCATGCAGGATCTGACCTTTGCCAAAGAATACCGAGGAAGTGGTGCTTACCGACCTGGAGCTTGTGTCCCTGCTCTAGAACTGACCAGGTGGGTAAACCTGATTAAATCGAGCAGTTAAATGCATTGGTTGACTTGATTCAACTTCACTCAATGAAAGTAGGATTCAGTTCACAGTTAACAAGAAGCCTATGCAACTTTGAAGAAAATTAGTTCAATTTACTTTAGCAAACTAATTTGCACTTCTCTCTCCCTCCCATACTCCAGAAAAGTATGGATTTTATTTTAATACATTTTAAATTAATTTATTTTAATAAAAACATCATCAAAAGTTCAATTAGATCACAAATGAAACCAAAGGAATGTTCAAATATTGCACAAGAACCTTAATGATTTTTTCTTTGCTAAACATAATGTGATATTGAAGGGAGAAAGAACCTCTAGTCAAAATGAGCTGAAGCGAGTGACTTAAAGGACTCCGTTTTTATTAGCCAAAGCAACAGGAAAGTTGCTTGTAAATTGTAAAACCATATCCTAAAATTTGGAAGTAATTGCTTATTCTTTGTGAAATTTTACAAAAATATTCACAAATATCCGATTAAAGGATTAATCTGCCTCTCTGACAATCAAGGCCTTTGTCATCTGAACTAACTTATGATCTTTAGTGGTTTAAGTTGGAATCCCAAATTGGCAAGTTTCCAGCATTTTGCAAGTTGAATCTGGGTATTATCAATTGGAGCATGTGTAATAAATCCCATTTACTGCAGGTGCTTAAAAAAAACCTAGGTATGTGTAGTTAGTGAAGCTTGAAAGGAACCTGCAATCAAATGGTGCTTGACTTGATGAAATGTGAAATACCATTTTTTTAAAAAAGTTTTTAAGTTACCTTGTTTGTACAGATGAATGTGCCCGCAATCTGCATAGTTACACTACACTCAGGGTTGAAGTTCTCATTCTTGTTGTGCAAGTCTACTTTGTTATGGATGTAGGTTTAATGTCCTTCTGTGGGAGCTGGCTGAGAAGGAGGAGGGTGGCCTGTCCTTTGCCATCTCATTTCTTTTCCTGTTTTATGGTTTGAAATCTGTTTTTAGACTGGCAGGGATCAGGGTTTTCTGATAACGTTAATTGCTCTGCCATCTCAAAAATCTGTGTGTTCTCTTAAGCAAATTGAAAGAGTTTCATGTGCAGCCAAATTCTCATTCCAGGCGCCACCTGCTGACTACACTGGTACAAACTCCAAAGGTTTTGCTGTGTACACAGTGACTACCCACTGATTTGGACTTGGACCTCTAGAACATCAAGGTGGCTGGCATGTCCCAAGCTATAAAGATCCTCCCACCACATTGAAAGCAAATGTCTGTCAAATAGCTGATGATGAAACTGAGGCTTGGGATGACAGCTGCTTGAAGGCATTACTTGGAGGCTGGGTTTGTGAGCACATGTTCAACATTTGGGTCTGGGTATCCACCTTGATTGGTTTGCAGAGAGGTAAGCAGTTGCTGCTAAAACTCCGCACCTCCAACTGGTGGAACCATTGTTCAAAAAAAGAATTACCCCTGCACGTAAAAACCCTGATGGGCAGGGTAGTCATAGCTGGACAAACAGCGAGAAGTTTTCCAGGCAGTGCATTAGAGCACTGTGATACGGTTTTAGCTGGTTAATCTCCAGCAGTATCCAAACGCATACTTTGGGTTCCCAAGCTTTGGCTCTTGCCATCCTGTGCCTAATACTGTATAATACTTATTGTAGGTAAGTAGGGTGTGTCCTTCTAGGGAGAGATTGTGCATTCCATTCAAGACAGGGGAAAATGTCTAATTTTAAGGGGACATGCTTATGTGGAGCTGTGTCTGATTCAGATACTCTTAAGAAGAGCGATGGATTTCTGCATGTGTCAAAAAACAAACCTCCAAGTATTTTTCTTGATGGCTCAGATGATGGCACTGAAATCAAAGTGGTGCATTATTTATATTAAACACATTTTAAAATGTGTTCTTGATCAACAACAGCTACTGCAAGACTTGCTACAAGCTCCTCTTTCTTTCCAAGGTCCTGGTATAAGTCCCTTCAAGCTTCGCTCTTTTCTCTTCCACCACTCCCCACCATTTTATTTTAATAAAATTCTAAATTAAAATTTATTTTAATAAAAAATACCACTCCCTGTATGAACGTCTCCAATCTGTCTGTATTGCAGCAGCCTTACTCAAATTTACAAATGACATCCTGTCCATTTGTGACCAGGGCTGGCTCTCTCCAAATTCTACTCGATCTCACCACCGCCACTGTTGACCACTCTATTCTTCTCCACCATTTCTTCTCTCAGCTTCACCTTCATTGATCTGTCCTTGCCTGGTTTCATTCTTATCTTTCCCAATGTCTGCAATTTGTTTCTACTCAAGTCTTCTCCTCCAGGGCTTGTATCATTGCATGCAGTGTTCCCCAGGGCTCTGTACTTGTCCCTCTCTTTTTTTAATATTTACCCGCTCCCACTCAGGAATATCATCTGCAGGCATGGGGTTACTTCCACATGCATGAAGATGATACCCAACTCTTATCTCTTCGCTTCCACCTCGACTGCAAGACCACTGCTACCCTGTCAGACTAAGTCCTGGTTGAGAGCCATTTTTTTCCCGTTGAATGTCGACAAGACTGAAGCCCATCTGTTTGCCTTCCGTCACCCATCTCAAGATCTTCCTCTTCAAATTCACCTTTCATCTTCCCATCTCCACCCCCTTGCCCTTCACCTCTCTTGACTCCACCCACCAGCTCGAGTGCAAATCCTTCTCTGTCCAGCGCCTTGAGACATCCTTCCGACTCGAAAGGCACCATATAAATCAAATTTGTTGTTGCTGTTTATTTATTAAAAAGCCTTTTTTTTATTCCCCCCAACATTATCTTTGGCAATTTGCTACACAAATTTAACAATAATACTCCTTACATTTGATATAACTTCTTTCACATCAAGAAGTCTCAAAGCACGTACGTCATAGGGTATACTGTAAAGTGTATTTTGGGGGAGGCAAATTTGTAAGGAAACCCAGCTACAGAAATGATCAGTGAGTAAGCAATAAAGAATTTCACCCACATTGCACAATTCCTTGGGAAAACATTTTCAATTCAGCTATTACCTGTCCACTCTCTCCGTTTAGCAGGCTCCGGGTTGCTGCACGTCCCACGCCCGGCTCGCCCCACTATCGGCGGTCAGGCTTTCAGGCTTTTATTTGTATTTTGTACTTCATAAATGACTGTTAAGATTTTTTTTAAACTAGGAGGATGCTGTCTTACGACCGTCGCTCTGAACCGAGAGTGACCGAGAGAGTCCCATATGTCATTGTGTACGGAAGCCCAGGTCTGCCTCTCATTCAGCTGGTCAGGCGCCCAGTAGAGGTCCTGCAGGATCCCAGCTTGAGATTGAATGCCACCTATTACATCACCAAACAGATCCTCCCACCCCTCAACAGGATTTTCTCTTTGATTGGTGTGGACGTGTTCAGCTGGTACCAGGAGCTACCAAGAGTAAGATGTGTTTAAAATCTCACACAATTTCTAACGAAACCTTGTTTTCTTCTTGTGTTCTCTGGTCTTCTGTTGCTGAAACATGTTCAAAGAGAACATGTAGTTCCGATAAGTTAGAGGGAAGAGAAACAATACAAAATTCCTTTATTTCACTTTTTTCTATCGTCTCCCAAAGACAGCGAGTCTGTTCTGGTCATGTAAATTTCTAGTTGCTAAACATGATAATCCTTAATTTGATATAGAGCCTTATGTTGTTGAGATGCCTCAAAACGCTTCACAGAATATACTGTAAAGTGTAGTGACTGTTTTGTGGATGAAACATGTATTCAAACCACAATCCCAAATCCATGGAAGAAAAAAATCTGTTGCTGGAACCTTTATAAACAAGCAAAGGTTTCAGTGGCACAGTAATGAAAACATTACTCACCTCTCCTGCTCCGTGATCTCACTCACAGAAATGTTTCCAGCACTTCTCTAGACTCCTGTTCTACTCTTGCTACATACATAAATAATAATAATGTGATCACTCAATCCACAACTGTTTGTGGGACACTGCTGTGTGCAATTGGCCCCAGATTTTGTCCACAAAATATATGGTCCATTCACTTTACAGTATGTTCTGTGAAGCGCTTTGAGATGTCTCAACGACAAATATTTACATGTGCTTTTTTGTGGCTTTGAGATGCTCAATTACCTTTGTCTGAAATGCATTACCTGTTTAAAAAGTACTCCTGCACCCCCCCTCCGCCCCCTTTAAACCAGATTCAGAACCAAACCTCAATGTTCTTGTACAGTGAGGTGACTCTTGGCATGAGGTTTGGAAGTTCTGAATTTGCTTGCAGAATTGTAACCTTGCCTAAGTGACTATTTTGCCTATTTCCAGCCCCTTCTGACCTTTGTGCTAACTGTGCCAGAAAATATTTAATATTTGTCCTTCGAGTAGTGTGTGCCCATGACCTCATTTCAATTTATCTGTATGTGTTAAAAGAAAACCCTTCTCCCTTTCTCTGCATGAAATGTTCCATTAGTTTAAAATTGATCACAATCTCTTTTTTTTTAAATTAGGTCCAAAAGGCATTTTCAACAGCTCGGATGGATCAGGATGGCAGAAAAGGAACGATTTCCCAGTACTTCACTACCCTGCACTGTCCCGTCTGTGATGAGCTAACTCAGCTGGGAATCTGCAGCAAATGTCGTAACCATCCTCAACAAGTTACTGTAATCCTTAATCAGGAGATTCGAGAATGGGAATCGAAACATGATCAGCTGCTAAAGGTGTGCAATTAAACAATGCTATTTTGGTGGAAAGGAATGATTTAGGGATCTTTAAAGCCCACCCTTGGCTACATGTTTAAATTATCCTTGACCATTTTCATCCAGAGAAGCAAAAGTATGTAAATAGTATCTGTTTGGTCAGTCGGGTGACTGACACATGCGGAAACCCATCACCGCCTCAGCTCATTAAACTGGTACTCTCACCTCTGAGTCAGAAGTTTGTGGGTTCCAGTCAGTACATTGAGCTCATAGTTCACCTGACATTTACACTTCTACTGACCTGCATTCACTGCTCATATCACCAGCAGCTTTGCAGGTTAAAATGTTTTTTTCAGTTTCACTACTTGGGTACTAACCACCTATCTTCCAGGCCCTCCGTTTTTCACTTTCTAACCCAACTGTCCTATGGTATTCTGATCATTGGGTCCTCGAGTGGAATGGACTGAGACAGCTACGCAATGTCACAACTACGGTTTTACCTCAGGAATTCCTGTAGTGGAGCAGTATGAAGTTCAAATGCCCATTTAAGTTAGAAATGTGTGGAATCGGTTCCAGAGAATCTCATGCACGTGTAGAACTTGGCCTTGATGTGATATTACTTTAGTAATAATTTGGTAATGATTACTAAATTATTACTAAATTACTAGCCACAAATCAGAGCTTGATTCTGTTTATACGCAATATTACAGAACTCAGACATGTTGAGTGTTGTGGAGTGAGGATCTAGAAACAGTGTCACACATTTATACTTCTTGGCTGTGCATGTAATTTTCAATCTAAAACCACCCTCTAGAGATTTGTCATGGGATGTGCTAAAAATGGAATCGGCATCAGTTTTCTGTCAGAATCCAGTTGTACAATGCTTTTGGGATTGAATCAATGTGAAAACTATTGATTTGACACTAAGTGCTATCTGAGACATTCATTTAAAGGAAAACATCCTATTGGGTATACATCAAACTACATTTAGAATAGTGATGTGTTGCCCACAGTTTGCTGCTTGTGACTTAGTAATTATAATGCACGATTCCTACCAGTAACCAGTATCAGGTTGTTTTCTGGTTTATTTTCCACAAACCTGATGCCTAGCCTGCTATAATCTGTCATTAGATATGGTTTTCTAAATCCTGAATTATTCACCGCTTTAACTCATTTCTTTCAGATTTGCAAGAATTGCACTGGTTGTGTGGACAGACAAGTTCAATGTGTGTCTCTGGATTGCCCGGTGCTATACAAGCTATTCAGCGTAAGCCGTGAACTTACTAAAGCTCCATACCTTCGGCAGTTGCTGGACCAGTTTTAACACTTCAGATCCAAACTAGATCTTGTTCTCAATTTTTCTTCATTTGCATTTGCATTGATTGCAGATGCCTTGGTCAGGATCAGGAAGTAATTACTCTATAGCCGAGTCACTTGGCCACTTGGGAATATACCATTACATTGCTGCCATTTTAAATGTGAACATTACAAAATATTTGACTGCAGTAGAAAGTAATTAGTTCACTTGTGTTGGGAAAGATTTGATCATTAGGAAAATGTGAATTTGTCAATGCCATGGTGATGGATGACTGAAACAGCTCTGTAAATAAATGTACAAAAATATTTCGTATGCAATTATGGTTAATCTATGGGCACTGAAATATGTGTAATTAACAATTGTGGTACAAATTTCAAGCTACATATGTTTACAAATGATTTTCTACAATGTATAATGAAGGCATATGTGTTGTAAGGTTTGAGAAGTTTTCTCAATACTTTTTTTAATAGTTGCTAGTGTGTGCTGTAGAAAATTTGCAGTATAAGGTGTAGCAGTTTGTTAAAAGCACTGTTATGTTGATGTTTATGGGCGCTTTGCTACGCAAAACAATCATGGGTAGGCAAGATTTTGGAAGCAGTGCTGTGTGGGGTTGTTGCAATATCTTGATTATTTATTCTGAATATATATTATGCCACTTCATATTTTTTTTCTACAAAATTTATATTGTTTCAAAAAAAACTTACGGTTTTCATTATGTCAAGTTTGATTTGCCAAAATTTGTACAAATAAGGCACGTCTTTTCCAATGTTTGTAAAGCTGTATTGAAATATAAAGGAATTATACGATCCAGTTTTTGGTGGTACCTGATTTGTTACTTAAGTAAGCTTTGTGGAATTTTAATGGAGGGGGAAAAAAGAGGTTGTCATGTTGTATCAGCAAAGGTCAGTGAAATTTATGTTACCATAGGGTGAACATCTCAAACTGTTTCACAAAAATTGAGGTGATTTGTCAGTGGGGAGGAAGGAATTTAAGGGTGTTGATCAAAGTCATGGTCAAAAAGATGGTTTTGAAGGCAGCGAGAGAGAGGGTTGAACGAAGGGGTGTAGGGAGAGTTCGAGAGTGGGGCATAGCAGCAGGTATTAATCCTACTTACCTAATTTTAAAATACTTCATAAGAGATTTGGATGAAGAAGCCCATTTGATCTTCCAGAACACCCACCCTACTATCCACCTATCAACAATTTTTTTTGAGTCCTGTCTCCACCACTTTTCTGGATACAAAAATATTTGCTTGTCAGTATTTAAAATGCTCTCTGAACCTGTGTCTTGTATTCCGGATTTACTTTCTTAATCCCATTTAAAATGTGGTATTCGCCTCTATGAGACATCTCGAAGTCTGAAGGCTTGCTATTTTGCTACTCAGCTCATTCCTCTGCCATTAGGGTTTATCTGCTCTGCCTTTAGGCCTTGGGTAGCTCTCTTGGGTCAGTGACCAGAACCATATGCAGTATGTATAAAACCAAACACTAGGGATTGGTAGATATCAGATGCATATCATCTGAAGATCACTTTTTGCTGAGATTGTGGTTCAGAATTTCAGAATTCCTCCTCAGCAGATGAAATGTTTAGCCTTTAAGAGCAAATATGCACTGCAGAGATGGGAGTAGAGGTTGAGCAAGGTTGCACAGCATTATATGCAAAATGAGTTTGCTCTTTCATGTGCTATTAGTAAATATTGCCCTCCCACACACGCAGAGCAGTGTCATGATTATTATTCTGACATCAGCTCTTCAAAGCATCTGTGCCTGTCAATTTTGTTCTAAATTGCAATGTGGCAATGACAAATGGAAAGGTGAGATTTGTATGTTACTAGTTAGAAAATTAAATTTATAGTTAATTTTATATTTATCCAGCATGACAACAGGGTTGGAGAATGAAGCAAAGTGATAATGTTGAATCATACCATCTCAGTCATGTCCCCATCCCAACTGAGGATTTATAGTGTTTAGCAGGTTTAATGAGCTTGTTTTTAAAAACCTTGTTCCAGCCTCTAATGAGATGTTTCTGAAAAGGTCAGTTTACAGTTACATGCTCAAACCAAGTCTCGATGGTTGGATAAACCTCTGAGTGACATGAAAAATTGTATGAATATACTAAGTAGCAGCAGTGAACTGCTGAGCTGTGCTTTCCTAATGTCTGTCCAAGCTCAGAAACAATAATTTAAGGATTCTTTCAACTACTTGCTATTTATTAATTCAAACTGATGTCAGATTAGAACAAAATCTTTATTTTCAGAATCACAATGATTGGTACATACAGCACAGATACTCCAGAATTAAAAGTGCAAAACTATTTGAAATCCATCTTTCCTACAGAATTCTTCAACCCATTTAAATATTAATAGTAAATATTGCCCTCCCAATTTAACCCCCAAAATATTTAAAATATTTAACCCCCAAAATGTTACTTTCTATCAAATGAAAGTGATGCCTTACTCCTTTACTGAATTTACCAGAACCTGTACACAGTTCTGAGCCATTTGATTTCCTTCTGCAATTACTAGATAAATCCCTAGTCCATTTGTTGCATAAGTCTACACAGGGCGTTCTATAACACTAACAGCAAATACAAGATTCCCCCCCACCCACAGTGAAACATGAAATTCACATTTAAGTAGCCCTATAAGATTGAATCCTGTTTGAGTGGATCTGCCCAGCCAGTTATGAAATGTAACCAGCAACAAGTACTGAAACTCACATCCAAAACACAGTAAATTGTTTGTATCCAAATCTTTTACATGCAGCAACCCTGACAAAACTAGTCTTTCAGAAGTATCTAATGGAGAGCAGAGTTCTACAGGAAACATGTACATTTCTAAATTAACTGACTGAATCCATGGGGTAAACACCAAAAAGTGCAGAAATTGCAGGTTATTTGACTTGTGCACAGCAAGGCAAGAAAGAGAGCACACACAATATCCTTGGATCAATAACAGCTACTCAAATCTGATTTACCTTTTGAAGAAAGGACCCTTTCTGCTTTCAGGCATTCAAAATATTTAAAACGTTACAATTAAATCAAGACCAACATTTGAAGCAATTGTAATCATCTATACATAGAAGTGACAGACACTAAAATCCTAACCACCCCCAGCAGCTTTCTCCATTACAAATGATAAAAGGCCAAACACACAGCATTGTGATTACAATATAGTACTAAGAAAAGCACACACAGTAGAGGTGCACAGTGACAAGAAATGCATTTCATTGGTACTTAAATTTTCACAAATAGATATCAATGTCACTAATAAAGATCCCAACATTAATATACAGCTCATTAACATCTTAAAAATACTGAAAAGACACTAAATGTTTACATCTGCTCAGGTCAATTCATGTCCATTTTTATGTACACTTAAGCTTCCACAGAGCATCTGCTCCCAATTACATCATGAAAGGTAACTTAATCACTAACCTGCGAAATGAAGAGATTTTAAAAGAATAAATATATGCTTTACCTGATCACTGCAGTGCTCAGTTATATTTTTTTTCTCCTAGTCTGAAATAAATGATTTTACTAGTCGGCAAATCAGTCTCCATGATTTGTTAGTCACAGTACTCTTGTAGTGTTATTTCAAAGTGTCTTTCTTTGGTGCAAATATCCAATGACATCACCAGATTTATAATTGTACACATCTATATCTTTATTGAGCAGCAACTCAATTTTCAGTTTCAATATAAACATCCATTAAGGTTTCAATCACCAATCCACAAGTTCATCAAATCACTACAAGCTTGTACTAATTTAATGTTTCTTAACAGAAACCTTTGTGGATGTACACCAACTTTGGTGCTAGGTTGAAGGAGGCTTAAAAATAATCCTTAAAACATTTCTACCTAAAAATCAAGTTTCTCTACAAACTATATACTCATATAAAGCAAGTGATTAGAAGAGAAGGGATAATATTGCAACTGAAAATTAATAGAGAGAATAGAATGATTGCCTTCAATTCCTAGCGTGTCATTCTATGCTGCCCCCTCTTTCCAAACAACAGTGAAGTAATACAGTAACTAAATTATATATAGTACTGAGGAATTCTGGATTGGTAAATTGATCAACTGTGAGGCAGAGTCAGTCCACCACTGCCACTATTCAAGTGTCCAGTTCTTGTTATTCACTCTGACATGAAACCGTAAAAGTATCTGAGCTTTCAATGCAGGAACACTGTTATGTGGCACAGCTCCACCAGCTCTCTGGTGGTGTACAAGCAAATCACAGCATTTTAAAGTATGCAAAGTTCAGCCAGAATGCTATACTGAACAAAGAGATGCAGAATTCTGAACTGCCAAGTCAACTAATTAGCTTTAACTGTTCACAGAATGGCAACGTATAAAGCTATGTCACCCAGGATTGCTGAGAAAATAAAATAAACTCTTCTGCACAGAGTCAAAATCACATCAGTCATTGCAACAATTCACATTTATGTAGCGCCCTTCGCATTGGGAGGACATCTCAAAGCAGTTCTCACACCTGCCCTGAGAGCTGCAGTGGAGCTGGGATGGGGGGGAGGGAGGTAGCCAAAAGTGCATTTGAAAAGATAGGTCTTAAGACGTGTTTTGAAGACAGGGACATTGAGGGCACAATGGCTGAAATCAGGCAGCGGGGAGACTTCAAACAAGCTGCCATTTGTTGAGCAGAGGAGTGGGTGGTCTGCAGCTTGTGTAGGTAGGTATAGTGAAGGTGTGAATAAGGGTCTCAGTAGCCTTGGAGAAGAGATGGTGACAGTGATAGGTGCTGTTGCTGAGATGAGGGAAAGACATGCAAGTCATAGCCCAGAGTCATAGGTTTCGAAGGGCAGCTGGGGGTGGGGGGGGTGGGGATGGGTGGGAGCCAAGCAAGCCAGCACAAATGTAATGGTCCCCATGTGGGACTCTTTGCTGGGACGCTGTGCTTTGGAGGCACAAAGAGAAGCCATTGGATGAAAAAGTAGACACGCTGACGTGTAGAAGGGCAACCAGTAAAGTGCTGAGCTCTGACGTGAATCAGATAGGAGACAGTGGAAAAGGATGGCGCAGTCAACAGTGTCAAAAAGTTTAGAGAGATTGAGGACAAGGAGAGCTGGTCTCAGAACATAATGTCATTTGTAACTTTGACCAGGGCTGTCTTGATACTTTGAATGGGGTTGAAGCAGAGGAGGAACCTATACAGGGATAGTCAGAGAGGAAAGAGTGGAGCTGGGAGACAATTACAGGGGAATTCTAGCTTCAGTCTCTGCCATATCATGATCTTGCTGCAAAACCGTTTATCCACACAATACCTTCACAGTGTTAGCTCACATCACAATTCCATTTAGGTTGAGAAACGCATAATTGAACATAATCAGAACTAGTTTGGAACATTATTACTCCAAGCCTACATTACACTCCTGCTAGAGAGGTTACAAAACTGCAAGGACTCAAATTTATCATGGAATCATGTAACAATTTAACCACAACTTTGAACATCAACATTTACCCTTTCTTAGAGCCCCATTTATTTGAAACCAATGTTGATTTAACCTCCATCATAATGAGAGCAGACAAACAACCTACTTGTTTAGGTATTCACAATTTCACCTTTATAAATGGGTAATTGGAGGATTTTCATGAAACCAGATCTACTGTGACCTTAAACTGTATTCCTCCAGGGGACAGGCCATTGTATATTCTTGTGAGTAAAATATGCTTTAAATCACGAGTTCCACTTCCTCTTCAGTATTCAGTCATTTTTCTCCCTCTCAGGGTTGAAAAGAGCCTTTTTTGGCGAGCCTCCGAGAAAAACAGGAGAGGAGTGAGGCAGAGCACTGTGACTGGGGGAGGCTTGCTCCGAGGATTTTGTTGAGGCCTCTCCCACAGGAGTTCTGTCTGTGCCATTCTTTACATCGCTCATTTCAATGACTTCAAAATCTGCATCATTCCAATCTTCCGGCTCGTCATCTTCATACTCATTCTGCCCCTCTCCCAGCAACGCTTTCCTGTCTTCACTCTCGCTTGCTTTGAAACTACTGTGAGGGGTGGAGGAGGCCAACTTGTACATCACAGGGAACAAAATGGCCGTCATTGTGGCAGTGCCCAAAGCTGTCAGCATCAGCACTGGGTAACTGTTAACAACAGGGAGGCCTTGGAGATATCCAACCACTGCTGGAACCACCATCTCTCCCAAGGCTGCTCCAACTACAAACAGCGCAGCCGATTTCCCCGTGATGCTAGTGTACTGCTTAAGCCAGGAAATGCCACTTGGAAAGGTGGTGGCCATGGAGGCTCCATAAACACCAGTCCATACCCAGAGAGAGATCACGCTGGTCTTATAAAGTGTTAGGAACAGGGAGGAAATGGTGCAGCCTATTAAACTCAACAGGATCATCGTTCCCGGGTGGATGCAGGCCGCAAAAGGTATGGCTAACCCTCTTGTTGCTGCAAACGTTCCCCAGAACAAGGCGTTCAGGCCAGCAGCTTGATTGTCCTCCATGTGGACAAAATTCTTTGCATATGTATAGATGTAGGACCCGTATGCCACCTCCGCTCCCACATACCATAAAAAGAAGAAGAACAGCAGGAAAATTAGAGCGTTGTGATATTTTGAAAACGGAGTTTCTTTCTCTCCATTCTCCATTTGCCCACGATTCTGGTGGTTCTTTGAATAAATTATGAAGAACATTAAGGCAATCAACAAATTAAAGGTTCCAATAATTACATACGTCCAGACGAAGGGGCTGAAGTCGGAAAGTGTCTTTCCCAAGGAACTGATGAAACTGTCTACATGCATTCGAGAGGTTTCTTTGAGAAGCACATCATGCTTGGTTTGATTGAAATCCTGCTGTAAGATGCCGAGCAGGGGCTTTGCAAGGATTGGAGCCACAAACGCACCTAAAGCAAAACTGAAGTGCGCGGCCTGCATGAAGGGGTCGGCTTGATTTCCCCAAACTGTCAAGATGACAAGATTTCCACCTGCAAAAAACCCAAAAATAATGAGTTATTAACAACCATAAGAATAATAACCCTTACATTTGCTATATAGCACCTCACCATATCTTCTCAATGTTTCAAAGCACATCACAGAATATAAAATAATCTTTGCATTTGATATAGCGCCTTATCATGTTTTCCAGACATCTCAAAGTGCTTCACAGAACATATTGTGAAGTGAATTGACTGTATATTTGTGAGCAAAACGCGGCAGCCATTGCACAAAGCAGTGTTCCACAAACAGTCGTGGATTGAAGTGACCAATTTTATTATTCTACTTTCTTGAGGGATTATTATCAGGCGTGTGGAAACTTGCCCAACCTTTTGCCCTGCCGGAAATCGAACCCAGGTCTCTCGCTTGCAAGGTGAGTGCTCTAACCCCTGAGCTACAGGATTCCTACAAAACTAAATTGAATTGCTTGTATATTTTGTGGGCAAAACGCAGCAGCTAATTGCGCACAGCAGTTTATAATAATTTACAACAATCATAGTAAGATCCTCTCAAACCACCAGGCAATGCCAGGCCACACAGATCAGAAGGCAGCAGGTGCGGATTCTAACCCTAACCCTCCCACCAGGCATCCACCAGAATTGAAGCACACAACAAACATATTTCACTCTGTGTGACGTCCATTCTGGTCCGATTGCTGTTTTGGTCATAAATTTCAAGAGTTTAGGTTTGGTGCCTTGAGATTTATAGATAGATGTGCCACCAATCCCAGCCAGATCCAAGACAACGGCCATGAACAACAACAACAAATTGCATTTGTAAAGCGACTTTCACATCAGGAGGACATCCCAAGGCGCTGGATAGTCAGGGATCCACACCTAAGCTGGCAGTTGGGATCAGGAGGGGGGGAAATGGAGAGGATAAGAGTAGGAGGGTGATCGAAGCGCATGGTCGAAGAGAAGGGTCTTGATATGAGTCATGAAGGAGGCAAGGGAGGGAGCGAGGCGGAGAGACTGCGAGATGGAGTTCCAGAGGGTGGGAACAGAAAGGCTAAAACCCCACCCGCCAATGGTGGGGCAGGCAAGGCGGGGACGTGAAGCAGGCTGGAGCCCACTGGTCGGAGAGAGCGGACACTTTGGTAGGGGGTTAGGAGGTCAGAGGTGAGGAGCAAGGCCATGGAGGGGCTTTGAGGGTGAGGACCAGGATCTTGAACTGTATCCTATGTGTGATGGGAAGTCAGTGGAGTCGGCCGAGGATGGGGATGATAGGGTCACGGAGCCTGGTGCCGGAGAGGACACAGGCTGCCGAGTTCTGGATGATCTGCAGCCTGTGGAGGGAGGAGTTGGGGAGGCCAACAAGCAGGTAGTTTGCACAGTCAAGCCTGGATGTGTTGAACGTGTGGGTCAGGGTCTCAGAAGTGAATGATCAAGTTATCTTCAGTCTACCTGAACAGGCAGATTAACATTTCAGTGTAACATTTAATTCTCAGTGTAAAAATGTTTGGGGATCAGATTAAGTATCCAAACCAAGGTGAGATTTCCATGCATCCCACCTACTCATGGAAATCTCATAGATAGATTGTTGGAATGGAATACTCACTCTCTCCCTGGAGGGACACATCCTGCTCACCTAATTCTGGAAAGTATTAGGCGCAGGATGGCAAGAGCCAAGGCTTGGGAACCCCAGAGTCTGCTTTGCGGTACTGCTGGAGTCTTACCAGCTAATACCGCACAGTTTGCCATTGATATTGCTGTCTGGCAAGCTTTCCCACTGCTTGTCCAGCCAGGACCACCCTACCTGTTAGGGTTTTAGCTTGCAGGATTAAGAAGAGCTGAATGGGATGACTCTCTGCCCCAGTGACTGGTCTCCCCTTTCGGGTTCTGCCGATGAGCCAGGCTGGCTGTGTTGACATCGGCAGTGCCCTGGAATACCGCGGACCTCCCTGGCTCAGGAACCAGTCCACAGAGACCACCACAGAGAGCTCAATTCCGACATTCCGTTGCACCTCATCCAAGTGCCACATCCAGCAACAAAGCAGTGAGGTGTAGGTCAGCCTACACTGGGAGCTTAAAGTCCCATTGTGGAAATAAACCTACAACCTTCTGATTGCAAGACGAGTGTGATACTAACTGAACCAGATTTAGAAACCACAATTATAGATACAGTTTCTCAAATCGTTACTAACCTGTATCCAAGAAACCCATGGAAACTCCAATGAGGGAAAACAAACCAGTCAACAGCAAAGCTTTTGTACACCACGGAATCGCGAATAATCCAAGTGAAGTGATCAACATGGAAGATCCTAAACAAGAGTTTATACAGCACAAGTTAAACATTTTACAAAACCCATCAGCAGAACTGAGAATAACCATCGACAATAATCTACAATACGGGTTAGAAACTAGATACCATCACACAACCACATATGTAATACCATATACCATCCATATTTCATGCTCTGAGACCTCTTAGTTTAAATCAGAGAACATTGCAGTCAAATATCAGAGCAAAGGTGTAGTTTAGTGGTCAGTAGGAGAAATGTAGATACATTTTAATCGGGGGGAGGAAAGAGAGAGAGATGCTGTTCTATCAAGCTTAAATACCTCACACAATCCTCTCACCATCTGAAAAAAATCTAAGAATATTAGTCCACTCTGAGAGAATATTGAGACCTCATAACACAATTCAGTCGAGAATAGACTTTTACTTTACACCAAGCCACCATAAATCATTGCTGCTAAAGGAATGTTAAAGAAGGATGAATACTAGCATGACTGCTGGGTGGGGTTAGGGTGTAGAATGCTCATGTTATTATGTGAACATATTAGGGCCCAATATGCCTTGATTTCTAATGGGAAGCCTTCCGATAAGAATAGCCGGACATGGGTCACACTTCATCTGGGTGTACAGGCACTGAAATAATAAACCGTATTAGTAACTGAATTCACACAAACATATATCCAGTTTCCTTATTAAGAAATCTCATAAATATCTGTATTAGTCTCCATTATCTCATTGAATAGAATGAGAATTGAGCACAGCAGGTCCAACTGATAACGAGGGAAATGACTTCTAAACTCCAGAGAGGGCAGAGGGTACTCCAGTATAACTCTACATCACTCACTGTGGTTTTATATGGGTAGTCAGCTTTCAATTCACCAGGTTGTGACTGCTCAGCAATCACCCCCCACCCCAAACACAACCCCAACCTGTAAATGGGAAATCTATTACACATTCACACAATTCCCTTGAAACATTTCCAAGAATTATTTTAATTATAAAGTATATGGTCAATCTAATCAGTGTACAGGACAGGGGCACTGACCATATCAGAGATATATTATACTACAACAGAAAACAATTCTCCCCATACAACTGACTATCTGCAGGAGCACAATGCTCTTCGGTCTCAAATACCTCAAGTTCACTGACATCAAAGTGTTGATAAGTGAATCCTGATGAACCTGGCATGGGGCCTATTGAATGAATTTAGTTTTTTTTTTAAGTAGAAAATCCTCATAACAATAAGAGAAAGTTTCTAATTGGTCACATCCCCTCCCCTTTTCCTTCTTGCACCCCCTTCAGAAAATAATACTCATCCAGACATTTCTACCAGTAAAGGACTAACTTACCAAGTAATAAATAGTGATTTGTGCAGTCAAAAAGCACCCCACCAATCAGTGAGCCACCTACATAGCCTAGAGAGCGGCCCACGAAGATATAGGAAATCTCACTGATGTTCTTGTTCACGTTAACTGCCAGCTCGTTAAACGTAGGTCCCAAGATAGCAATGCTCATCCCCTGAGAAGACAAAATAGTAGATAAGAATGAGTCACTCTCCACCTCATCTCTGGAAATGACACAAGCAGAGGGGTTTAAAAACCCCACAGGTCAGAATCAGTTGTGCTCGGTGCCATCAGCTCATACTCTGTGAAGTCCTTTGAAGTAATGGTCTATTATCATCCGACTGAGCTTAATTTCAGGCAGAGAAGTTACCAAAGCAGGAAACTAAGAAACAAAAAAGAAATTAAAAACCTTAGTGTCTGCCTCAACAACCTCCCAGGAATCAATTCACCCATACTGAATCTTCTGCTTCAACAAAATGTAATTTCCATTTTTAACATAGTGCAAACAAGCCAGTCTGACTTGCTCTGAACTAGTGAAGCCCTAGGGGCAGATAGTCAGGTCAGTTAGTGCCGAGAGACATAATGGGATCAATATTCTGCAACTAATTTCTGAGCTGCTATCCTCAGTTTTTACTGTGTCGAGACACAAGGGAGATTCAAACAGGAGGTTCCCTCAAGGTTAAAAAAAACTGTGGTATGAAATATTTATGTCCTGGCTGCGTCCACCCTTTCTGGTAACCCATACTAGCAGCACATTAGCTCGAGTAAAGAAATGCTTTCTTTCTAACCCTGACCTCTGCTTTTTTATCTCCTATTATCTGGTACATTTAAAGGTATTGTTCTGGGTTTACTTTCTCAATCCCATGAAACTAATTAAGGTGCCCTCTGAGTTTAAATCCCTTAAACACACATGCTCTGGATGAGAGCAGTCCATCTCTCTGTTAAATGTTATTTTTCAATAAGGGCACGAGCAATTATCAGTGAAGCCCATTAAAACCAAAGTACAATGTTAGACTCACAGAACATTCCCTACTGTCATGTTTCAATACCACACAATAAAGCATACCCCAGCGTGAGTCAGTATCCTCGGGAGAGGAAAGAGAAGGAATAAAAAAGAACTGCCAAAGAAAGCTCGACAGGCCTGAACCTGGTAACACAGAGTGTTGTAGTTGGAAGAAACTATTTTATTCAGTACAGGGAGATGTTATACGGTGCTTGGAATCCGTATAATCAAAACCCAGGCTGTAGCAAAGCATGGATGATAATTGGTTTCACTGCATAGGTGTGCAGTAGGCTAGTGGGAAAATCTAATGAAACGTAATTTGGCTGTTTAACACAACAGCCAGCATTATAACCAAACACGCACTACAAAGAGGCGTGTTATATGGGAGCTACACAGTATTTTAGATTAATATTTAACATGGAAAATGATCAGACCTGCAGCACAGCTATTCTCCAAAGCACTGTTATGGGTTTGATACACCACACAGCACGGTAGCTGAGCTGAATGGTGCATTGTTGCTTGGAGAGTGAAGGAGAAAACAAACCAGCTTGTTACAAAAAAAACTAAAAATGGAGAAAAGTCGATCTGAAAGCTGTAGGTGACAGACCAGAAGTGGTGCAATCTCAGAGCCTCAAACCAGGAATACTGAATTCTTAATCACACACACATCACAACGGTTAGCGTCCACAATCCCATCTTCGCACATTAATAAAAACACGAATCATATGCGCCATTGAAAGAGGCACATTTTATCAACCATTTTAAAAGCTGCAGCTGCCTTGTAATATTTTCATTTCAACTCTCTGGTTGAAGTTGACAGGAGAGAAAGCAAAGAGATTTTAAAAGAAACTCATTTCTGAGCTTATTTCTAAACCACAGAATAATCAATTCATCCGGCCAGCCCAGAAAATGCATCATTCGCCATCACCGATTGCACCATCCCACAAGGCAATCCACGAAAGGGGCTGTTCCCATCACACCGACACTGTTTACAATTGGTTTACTCAGCATTTTATGGCCAATCTTAATTGTAAGCAACAATCAGAAGGGTTGGAAATTAAAAGGACAATTTTTGAATATTGATTTGTGCACATCTCAAAGCCAGAAAAGGTTTTTTGCGAGATAATGCTTGGTATAAAGCGCTTCAAGATATTCTTAAAAATGATCACCACGTAAATGCAGCTTTTCTCTCCACTCAGCAGCTTCCCACCCGTCCTCAACTCCCTCCCCACTCTGAGCTCAGGCTCCCAGTCAGCTTTGTGACCACCCTCCCTCACCTCCCAATCATCCCAATGTGAAAAGGGGCTTATATATAACTAAATCACTAATGTTGTTGTCTGGAAGTGATCACAAAGCACTAATCTGATCACTGATCAAGTGTCAACTGAAAGTAGAGGTCAGGTGACAATATCTAAACAGTAAAGGGTGCCTGCTATCTTAATGGGTTGTTTTTTTTTGTTTCTGCCCAGATTCTAGTTATTTAGTCTCCTCGCAGAATCCATACAACTTCTGCACGTTGGTGTGATCGTCGTACTTCAGCGAGGTACTTCAATATCATTCCCGCAGATTTGTCAGGAAACAGCACGTGGCAGATTGATGGAAAAGTCAGGCCCATTATGCATTTAAAACAACCCAAATGTTTGTCAGCAATATGTGCTGCTCTCCACATTGCAATATAGCTATGGCTTATCTAACTAAATAGTACTTTGCCAAAATAAAAGCTGGCATCGTGACGAGAATAAAATAAAGTTGACGCAAGTCTAATGCAGCACAAACCCCATCGCCTACCATACAGATCCTTAACTGAATTAGTTCTAGGTTTGGGAGAAGATGTTCATAACTTGGCATCAAAACAAAAGAAAAATCTCCACTAATGTGCTATTTTGTCCCCCTTCCCCCGACCTGCAAACTAATTTTGTTGCAAAGTAAACTTAATAGTTGAAAGTAGGTTTTGTCTCTCGTCCAGGACTCGATGTCAGACAGGCAGGCTGTCAGGACATCGGTGGTCGTGAAACATCGCCAGACTACGGCACTACCTCACCCCTCACGCTGATGAAATACTGATCCACGCCTTGATCACCTCAAGGCTGGACTATGGGAACCCTCAACCCTCAACTCCACGACCACCGATGTCCTGACAGCTCTACGGATTATGTCATTAAGAGGGAGCATATAGATACTGAGTAGAAGGAGACCAAGAACAGAGCCCCAAGGAACGTCGCACGAGACGGTGCGGGAGCTGGAGGAGATGGAGCATTGACTCACACTCTCATAGGTGAGAGGTACGATCTGAACCAGTCAAGGACAGAGTCATGGAGGTTGAGGTGAGAGGATAGGCGGTGGATGAGGACAGAGTGATCAATGCTGTCGAAGGCAGCAGAGGTCAAGGAGGACGAGGAGGCAGAGGGAGCCCTGGTTGTAGAATGACAGAATGTCATTTGTCACTTTGACCGGGGCTGTTTCTGTGCTGTGGGCGGCACCGAAACCCGACTGGAGGAGTCCGAGAAGGGAGTGACGGGAGAGGAAGGAGCGAAGTTGGGAAGCAACAACTCGTTCCAGGGCCTTGGAGAGGGAGGGTGGAGATGGGGAAGTAGTAAAGAGAGTAGAAATGGGTCGTGGGAGGGTTTTTTAAGGATAGGAGTGATGACGGCCATTTTTAATGGGGTGGGAACAGTACCAGTGGACAGGGAGAGGTTTGTGATGTCTGTGAGTAGAGGAGCAAGGAGCTGGGGCTGGAGGTAAGGATGGGGTCGTCGGAGCAGGTGGTCGGTCAGTCGGTGTGATCGTGGCAGTCAGTCAGTGTGAGTATGTCAGTCAGTCAGTGTGAGTGTGTCAGTCAGTGTGAGTGTGTCAGTCAGTGTGAGTGTGTCAATCAGTCAGTGTGAGTGTGTCAGGCAGTCAGTGTGAGTGTGTCAGGCAGTCAGCGTGAGTTTGTCAGTCAGTGTGAGTGTGTGAATGTGTCAGTGTGAGTGTGTCAGTGTGAGTGTGAGTATGTGTGTGTCAGTGTGAATGTGAGTGTCAGTGTGAGTATGTGTGTGTCAGTGTGAATGTGAGTGTCAGTGTGAGTGTCAGTGTGAGTATGTGTGTGTCAGTGTGAATGTGAGTGTCAGTGTGAGTATGTGTGTGTCAGTGTGAGTGTGTCAGTGTGAGTGTGTCAGTGTCAGTGTGAGTGTGTGTGCGTCAGTGTGTGTGTCAGTGTCAGTGTGTGTGTGTCAGTGTGAGTGTCAGTGTGAGTGTGTGTGTGAGTGTCAGTGTGTGTGTGTCAGTGTGTGTGTGTGTGAGTGGGTGTGTGTCAGTGTGAGTGTCAGTGTGAGTGTGTGTCAGTGTGTGTGTGTGTCAGTGTGAGTGTGTGTGTGAGTGTGAGTGTGAGTGTCAGTGTGAGTGTGTGTGAGTGTCAGTGTGAGTGTGTGTGAGTGTGTGTCAGTGTGAGTGTGTGTGTGTGTCAGTGTGAGTGTGTGTCAGTGTGTGTGTGTGTCAGTGTGAGTGTGTGTGTGAGTGTGAGTGTCAGTGTGAGTGTGTGTGAGTGTCAGTGTGAGTGTGAGTGTGTGTCAGTGTGAGTGTGTGTGTGTGAGTCTGAGTGTCAGAGTGAGGGTCAGAGTGAGTATGTCAGTGTGAGTGTGTGTCAGTGTGAGTGAGTGTGTGTGAGAGTGAGTGTGTGAGTGAGTGTCAGAGTGAGTGTGTCAGTGTGAGTGTGTCAGTGTGAGTGTCAGTGTGAGTGTGTGAGAGTGAGTGTGAGTGTCAGTGTGAGTGTGTGAGTGAGTGTCAGTGTGAGTGTGTGTGTCAGTGTGAGTGAGTCTGAGTGTCAGAGTATGTCAGTGTGAGTGTGTGTCAGTGTGAGTGAGTGTGTGTGAGAGTGAGTGTGTGAGTGTCAGAGTGAGTGTGTGAGTGTGAGTGTCAGAGTGAGTGTGTCAGTGTGAGTGTGTGTCAGTGTGAGTGTGTGTGTCAGTGTGAGTGAGTGAGTGTGTGAGTGAGTGTGTCAGTGTGAGTGAGTGAGTGTGTCAGTGTGAGTGAGTGAGTGTGTCAGTGTGAGTGAGTGTGTGAGTGTGAGTGAGTGAGTGTGTCAGTGTGAGTGAGTGAGTGTGTCAGTGTGAGTGAGTGAGTGTGTGAGTGTGAGTGAGTGAGTGTGTCAGTGTGAGTGAGTGAGTGTGTGAGTGTGAGTGAGTGATCACAATCGGGGCCACACTCACCAATCCGAGGAAGGAGGAGCACACGAGGAGAGTGCTGGACCCGCGGCCTCGCCTCCTGCCGCCGAGCCCCCGCACCTCGCTGTGGGGCAGCTCCTCGCCCCGGGGCCGGTCTCCCCTCTCGGCGCTCGCGCCGTTGCTGAGGCCGCGCTTCTCAAACAGCGTCTCCTCGTCCTCCTCCTGCGGGGCCCGCGCGAACCGCACCTGCTTCCTCTGTGAGGACGGGCGGCCCGGCATGGCGGCCAACCCGCGGCGCCGCGGCTGCTCAGCGCCCTGACCCCCGGACACACCGCAGCACCTCCGCCGCCCGCATCCCGGCCGCTGCCCTGCCCGGAAGTGACGAAAGGGGCCCCACGTTGTCACAAGCAGCCCGGCGACCAATCAACGGCCAGCTCGCTCCCCAACCCGCCAATCAACGGCCAGCTCCCCAACCCGCCAATCAACGGCCAGCTCGCTCCCCAACCCGCCAATCAACAGCCAGCCCCCCAACCCGCCAATCAACAGCCAGCTCCCCAACCCGCCAATCAACGGCCTGCTCGCTCCCCAACCCGCCAATCAACGGCCAGCTCCCCAACCCGCCAATCAACGGCCAGCTCCACAACCCGCCAATCAACAGCCAGCTCGCTCCCCAACCCGCCAATCAACGGCCAGCTCCCCAACCCGCCAATCAACGGCCAGCTCCCCAACCCGCCAATCAACGGCCAGCTCCCCAACCCGCCAATCAACGGCCAGTTCCCCAACCCGCCAATCAACGGCCAGCTCCCCGACCCGCCAATCAACGGCCAGCTCGCTCCCCAACCCGCCAATCAACGGCCAGCTCGCTCCCCAACCCGCCAATCAACAGCCAGCTCCCCAACCCGCCAATCAACGGCCAGCTCCCCAACCCGCCAATCAACGGCCAGCTCCCCAACCCACAGGGCGAGACCCCAGAAGAAATTAAAGGTGGGAATTGAGGATCTTGAATTCGATTGCCTGGGGATGGGGGGCAATAGGGCCAAGTGAGGGTAGGGGTGATAGGCTCACACAGCCTGAGATCTAAACTAATCAACGCCTGGGACCTCAGCCAACCAACCAATCGATGATAATAATAATAATTATTATTCCATATTACAGTGGATTGACAGAGTCATCTGCCCCTTTTTTTACTGTTCTTCAGTTCCATGTGCTGGATTGCCAATATCTACACCACCACCAATTTACCACACAACCAGCAACCAACAGTGCATCACACACTGCAATCCTCAATGCAGCACATGCCAAAGCAAGGCAAGAATCTACAACAACAACAACAACAAGATTCCATTTATAGAGCGCCTTTCACGTCGGGAGGACGTCCTAATCTCAAGATTCAGAGCAAATCATAAATAGTGAACATAAACATCAAAGAGTTCGGAATGATCTGCAGCTTGTGGAGGGAAGAGTTGGGAAGACCAACAAGCATGATATTGGCGTAGACGAGCCTGGATATAATGAAGGCATGTATGAGGGTTTTGGTTGCCTGAGGGGTGAGGCAGTGGTGGAATCGGGCAATGTTGCGGAGGCGGGCAAAAGCAGAGCAGGTCAAGGCATGGATCTGGGGAGAAAGGACAGTTGAGGGTCAAAAAAGACACCTAGGTTCTGGACTGAATTAGTGAGGTGGAGTGTGCATCTATGGATGTTGATCTCGCCAGTGCCTGAGGTGCGGAGGCGCTGGCACAAGCCAATCAGGAGATACTCGGTCTTGCTGGCATTCAACTGTTAAAAATTGTCTCTCATCCAGGACTTGATGTCTGACAGACAGTCTGTCAGGACAGCAGTGGTCCTGGAGTCGAGGGTGGAGGCGGAGAGATAGAGTTGGGTGTCATTCGCTCATATCCTCTTCTGCACCAGGCTCCATGAACCATCACACCCACCCTTGCCCAGCTCCACTAGCTCCCCATCCCTCAGAGGATTGAGTTCAAAATCCTCGTCCTTGCCCTCTCCTACCTCTCCGATGTACAAGTGGATTCTGCAAATGTCACCAAGAGGGAGCATGTACAGGTTGAAGAGGAGTTAGGTATTTGAGTTCCCTTTGCATATAAATTCTTTCAATGTTATTGAAGCTGTGGGTGAATGATGAGTAACAGCAAACACTCAGAAGGATTGATGTCTTGTTCTAAAGAGAAATTATTCAAGAATTTCTGTACTCAGCATTCTCTGTTTTATAGTATCTCAATACAACAACAAGTTGGATTTATATAGCGCCCTCCACACAGACAGCATCTCAGAGCGCTTCACAGTAACGGATCCCGGGGCCGAGCCAGGGGGAGGAAGGTGACCAAAGGCGCGGTCGAAAAGAAAGGTCTTCAGCAGGGACCTGAAAATAGGAAGAAAGGGTGTGAGGCGAGGAGGGAGGGAATTCCAAAGCCTCGGGGCATAGTGGCTGAAGGCACGGCCGCTGAGCGTGTAGTGAAGGACTCGGGGGACAAGGAGGAGGCCAGACCCGGAGGAACAAAGGCAATGGGTACTGTTTTGAGGAGAGAGGAGGTGCTCTTCTGCCAAAGGCTTTAATTCTGCTTTGGGAATGTCATTGTGTACCAAGGACATGAAACTCAGTCACAGACAATAGAAGAGCAGCTTCTCCACCTCAGAATGTTCATTGGCTAGAGAGCAGGGAGCAGGTCAAGGGAGAAAATTGAGTCATTTGTAGCCTCACACAAAAAACAATTGAAAAATAATCAATGTTGAAAGTAGAAACGTGAAACAAAATGTACTTCATACTAAAGCACTATCCATGGACAACAGAGATTTGTACTAACCACCTTTACACAAGATGCTCACTGGTGACTGAGCTCCTTCCATTGTGACAATATTGAAAAAGTATGAATTCATCATGAGACACCTGCAACTGAATCCTCTCCCCTGCCAGATCCGTCTTATGCTACTGTCATTGTTCCTGGCAGCTAAATGCTCAGCAGGGATGATAATGATGACAAATGTGCATCTGCTGGAGACTTGAGATGTTTTTTTCCCCTGAATGATAGTACCTAAACGCTAGCAGAACTGGGGGGAAAAGTCTTAGAGCAATAATATTGAAGTGTAACTCTCAAACTCTGCTATGATCAGGATTTCTTAATCCAAAGCTGCCAAGTATGGGCAAAGCTTGTGAGTCATCCCATCGTTTTTTTTATATTCATTCTTCGGATTGTGGGAGATACTGACAGTTTACCTGCATTTATGACTATTGTTAGAGACAATGCAGCAAAGAGGTAGACAGACAGTGGGCAGGAAGATAAAGAAAGATACAGAGAGAAATCTTGAGATTGGAGTACTTATTAACCCCTGTGATCTTAAGGGAGTAGAGTCTATTAACAAAGACCCCTTAAGTTTGGGTAACTTTCTAGGCCAAGCATATACTTTACCCTGGGTTACAGACTATTCCTTTGCTCCCTGATTCTGATACATCTGGATGGAATTTCAAGTCTGTAACCACAGTGTGCTTCCTGATTCAAAAGCTGCTGCTGCTTCCTATCAAGTCAGTTTTCCACAATTAACTCATTAACAGTGCAAATAAAGGATGAAATTAAGACTCTTGTCTTGTCAATTACAACTAAACAGAAGAGGAGGATAAACTAAGAAACCTCATTATAAAAGAGAAATCAGAACCAGCACCATCTAAAATGGCTGGAGCATCCGTTATAATCTTTTACTGGAACTTAAGTGGAACCTTTTCAACTTGTACATTAATATACAATGCACATTTAGATTTATATAGAGTCTTTTACATCAGGAGGATGTACCAAGCGTTTAACAATCTTGGCTTGGCCCTCGAGCTGGGGGTGGGAGCAAATGGAATGGGGAAGGGAAAGATGACTGAAAGAGCGATCAAAGAGATAAGTCTTGAGATGGATCTTGAATGAGGTGAGGGATGGGCCGAGTTGGAGGAATGGTTTGGAGTTCCAGAGAGTGGGGCAACAAATCTATCTATGAGTCTTGCTCAATTAAATTAAATTAAGTTCTCAATTAAATTAAACAAATGTGCCAATTATCTGTTACGAAATGTTGCATTTTTCACTCCATAGTTTCAAAGTACCCAGAACATTGTTATTCCATCCTCTTGGCTTACATTTAGAGCCACCTACTCTAAAGTAAAATCCATCCAATTTTAGATCTATAAATCATAACAGAAGGACTTGAATCTGCTTAGATCCCATCTGGCCTGCAATTCCAGGATCTTTCTCAGAAGTGTTTGCCAGAAATGTTGATGCCTCAGAGCCTCTCTCGTTTATGCCAAAATAAAAGAAGACAGAAGGCAAAAAGGTGAAAATACATCAGCTAATTGACTGACAGCCCTAAGAAATGTAAGAATTCAATGCAAATTGTTGCTCATGTTATGGATCCATAGGCAAGTAATACATGTTGGAATGTGAGAGACAGAGAATCCCAAAGCCACGATGCACACAGACTTTGCAATTTTTTTCCCCGTCAGCCAGGTGTCTGACACATGCGGAAACTCAGGACCATGTGTAAAAGTATTTAAACCAGACTAAGCATTCCACGTATATGTGCCACCTACACGTAGAAATGTCACTGTGTCTGGAATAGCATCTTATCGAATGACTTCGAGGAATTCAAATACATAGCATTTTTGGAATTTAACCAGTTAAAATTGCATAGTTTGATATAAAGAGCACTGTCTGGCACTTGTTGCTTGTCCAGCTATGACCACTTACTTGTTAGGGTTTTGGCTTGCAGGGTCAACAGGAGCTGAGTGGGAAGAATCTGCACCCAATTGGTTTGGTTTGATTCTTTCACATTAACTCACTCTACCAGCCCCCCATCACAATAGTCCAGTGTCCTGGCCTCAGCCACTCTTCCTGGCAACCTAATCCAGTTGTTAATTAGCCTCTATGTAAATATACACTTCATGGTATCTGTGCATTGTGCATTTCAGCACATTTGGGACAGCATTTTAATGTGAAAAGCACTAAGTAAATACAATTTGTTGTTGATCGTGTAACTTTAAACTGTGTCCTCGTGTTCTACTGCCTTGATGCATCCTAAATGAATATTCTGGGTTTTCAAACACATTTAAAATGTTATACACCTCTATGAGATCCTCTGTATCTGAGATGTCGTCTCTCAAGATTGAAGAGCCCTAGCTTGTCTCATTGTTGCTCAAAGCTCATTCATCTAACACTGAGGATCACATAATACAATTTACACTTATATAGCATCTTTCATATCTGGAGGACATCCCAAAGTGCTTGCAATCTTCTGCACAGCTTCTTAGCAGCCCCCTTATGTTGCAGTGAACTATATGCTGTAGATGCAGCCTGACCAGAGTAGCTTT